CGTCTGCTTGTCTAGTTGAAAGAAGTTGTGATTAATAGACCTGAGGATGCATACTCTCCAACGACATGTTTTCGACACCGAAAGTGCAGTGATTTTACCAAGTAAATGGGGTTGTGGACTAGAGTTATCAGGATAGGCCTTCCATCAGTAAGTATATCCGCATTCATTTGAAAAACCAAAACAGTGTCGTTTGCCAAATGTCTGAAATACTATGGAATCAGAGACATGGATGTTAATATGGCACTTAGCTTGCTTTGGAAGAGTCACTTGCGTTTTAAGGCATTTGAGTGAGAAGAGTTGTCACCTCCTGCACTTTTTGGTCAATAGGGTATCAAAAAAAATGGGCACTCAGAAAAGTCAAGCAAAAGAATGGCAACATTTGAGGGCAGATAGGATTAATGCAGTCCCTTACAATGGAGATTTAATTTTAGGATGGATTTCGAGAAAAGGAAATTGCCAATCCAGTTACATGAGATCAAAATGGGTGGAATCCAATCTTATACATTTTGTTTAAGGAGATTAATTCTGTTTCAATAAGTATTTTACATGGAAGATCATGCCACCAAACGGAATGCGTAATCCGCCGAGTCTAAAGGACCCACTTAATTGTATGCATAGATAAAAACATCGGATTACTGCACGGACTGATTTTTTTGAGGGTTGTTTCGAGTGTTCTAATTCACTTATCAAAATACAGACATTGTTTTTAAAACCAACTACGAGAAAGTCTCGTGGAGCTAAGATTTTCGCGTCTACTCACCCTAGTTACTCGGCTCTCGCTTCAGTATTGCCCAACCTCCTACTTTGATACCGTTCAGCTACTAGAGGCATGCATGATGTACCATTTATTCAAGTAATTCACTTAGCTTTATACAAGTTTCGAGGGCAGTTCTCAAGTGATTTCTTTGAAATTCTTCAAGTATGGCTGCAGTCGTTAATCACCTTCTTACCTTAAACAGGATTGGAGTGAATCACAAAAGTGGATATGGCTTTGGAAACCTTTCTGTGGTGAGTCTTCGTAGATTTAGCCACCTGCGGCAAACGCCTTATCTTCTGACGTTTAGATTCAACATCCAATACTGACTCTTAGAGTTTGGTCATTTGGTAAGGGTTCGCCTATCGTTGCCACCATTGTAGGAAAATTGTTATTATTAGTGCAGGGAAGGCTCAAGTGGTTACAAGCATAACCTCCCGGCTAGGCCGCCAAAATAGAAGTTCAAATTGCGAAGATTGAAGAGCTTGCATGGTCAAAGGCAGAAATGAAGCACGTACATTACGTCATGCGATAATTTTTAGGGCGAAATCTTTACTGTGCGCACCTATCAAAACTGCTCTTGCAAACATTTTTTTAAAGTTCATTGTCTAAATTTAACGTTTAAGGAAATGGCGAATTTTGATCTTTGTAAGGGAGCTCGCGAAATTTCGATTAAATTCGTTAATAAAAATTAACCAGCACTACACTATGAAAGGCAAAACTTTTACAAATCACCTATCAAGGAAACTCTTTAGCCACATGAGTAGTGAGTTTCAATTTAAGACATTTTAATGTGCAATTTTGTGCAGAGTTTATCCGTGGGCAATTACATCCTTAATTACGTACTCACGATTTAAATCATTTAAAAAAGCAGAATCTATGGCAAAAATCAGCACAAATTGTGGCCAATTGTGGTTTTATCAAATATCGTTGCATCAAAAAAGCCCGCCACTGCCTACGACAGTGCTACAAATTGTTGAGCCTATTTACACAGTCTGAATTCTTTTGCTAACCAATTTACTTGCTTTTATCAGTATTAGCTTAATTTGTTTTTTAACAAACTTGAGACTATATCAAGCAAAAATAAAAATGCCTACTTTTTTGCATCAGTAAATACAACGTGGTTGTTCTTGAGATTAGTTGAGTCAATTCATGCCTTATTTGGCAGGGAGACGCAGGTTTAACAGAGGTACTTGTGAAAGAAAAATGGTGCAACAGGGTGGGTAAATCCAAATTAATTCAACTTTTTAAATGAAATTTCACATCAGACACACATCCAAAAACTAAATTAATACCCCCTGGTTATGCCGAGCTAATCCTGTCCCGAGCCCCTTCAGCGACGTAATTTTTTCCTACTGTCAAGTAATTTGGGCAGGACAAGCGATGCACAGTACAATTTTACAGTTTTTAAGAATGTAGCATTGAAGAGAAGGGGATTTCCAACCGAATTTTGCAGTGGTGATTGGAAACAAAGTCTTCCTGAGTGAGCGGACTCACGAATATACAAAGTTAAAAACAGCTTTTAAATTAGAAATAATGGGAACTGGACAGGAAATTGTTGCAAATAGCTATTCTTAAATGCTTTCAACTTCAAAAATCGCCTAAGTACCCGTCATTGATGACAACTACTATTAGTTTGTGATGCCACTCGACTTTCCACCTCAAAGCATACTTTAAATGCTCAAATTTGGATCTCATGAAGCTTTATTCTCCAGGTTCTCACCATAAATGCTGGTTTTAATATCTTCTGTTGATAAATGATGGCAAATTTGCGAATTTCACCATCTCAAATTGCACAATTTTGGTCGTGAAGGGGTTTTGAAAAAAATACGTTCAGACTAACATGTCGTGAGGTTAGGCATCTGAGGAGTTATATGCAAAATCACAAATTTCTGGTCATCGTACTGTCTTTTAACAAATCAGGATCCTGAGTGAGATTTTGCTCTACCTATAGGCAAACCATACGAATCCATTTTTGTCAGGGGTCAAATGCATAATATCGCCTGGCCTTTCGCTCCCAAAAATTTGGCATTTTTAGGGGTCATCTTCAGAAAAATTTGCTTTTCATCAATACCACTTATTTTTTAACAAAATACACTGACGCGATTTCTATTTTAAATGTGCTTTGAACAAATCCCTACCTCCGTCAATATTCTTATCTGCATGGCAGCCTCTTCTTTCGTTTGATGGTAAATGCGAATCTTCATTTGAAAAAGAATATACTTTCCAATAATACTCAACAAACACGCAGCCTGGTCATAAGCTAAGGTATGCTCAAAAAGTAAAAAAAGTAAAGGTGGCTTTTCCACGGCAAGCTCATTAAACTACCGTTTTAAACTGAGCAATTCTTTAGACAAAATAAACTCGAGTTTTCATATTTTTTGTATATACTGAGTTTTCTGGGATTGAGGCTTACGTTTGCACCAATTTCCCTCAGTATGTGTATCCACAGATGGGGACAGAAACATACATTCACCTAAGATTCTGTAAAAAAGCAGAGCAACCCTACAGCAAAAAACGCACTTGACCTGGTCTTCACAGCCTCGACGGATTCCTCAGCTGCATCTATAAACTAATACAAAGGATTTCATGCGACCTTTTAAATTATCCACTTCCTAGGATCAGAAGGCAATTGGATTTACTAAGAAGAACGGTTATTTGAAAACTTTGATCTAAAACTAACATAAGGCTCATAAAAAAGGTGCATCCAAGAGGCACAATTCCAACTTAATGCTAGATTCCTTTTTTGGGTATACGCTTTTGGTATGGAAATCCGCTTTTCAAAATGATATAAACTTGCCATGAGATACCTGACTAAGGATGGGCAGTGGCAATTTGACAAGCAAAAAACTTATATTCCTAGCTGAGGAAGTGGCAAATCCTATGCTGGAAGGCAGTTTTGCCATTGGCTCCAAATCAAATAACAATTAAAAAGGGCACAGAGGAATCACCATTGGACTTCGCCAAATTTTCGGGTTTTATTTTGAACTATTGTAGTCATTCTACGGCGTTTTTGCTTGAATCGCAAAGAGAGTTGTTGGTATGCTCGCTGAACAAGTAAAGGAAACATAATGAGGCCTGAATGTTCTTTAAAGATCCTTGACCATTTGCACTAGCATGACTCTTTATCATAGTTTAGGGTTTTATTTCTGCTAGACGCATTGAAACAGGAACATGACCTTCCCCTAATTCACATTCCATCGATATGATGGGTTCATAAATACAAAACCTCCCCATAAATCCAATGTTTATGTGAACTGCATGATGTTCGCTAAAAGTTAGGTGCGGATGATACCATATTCCCGAATAAAGTGGAAAAGACTAACTCATTTTCCCTCTTTGCTGTAATTATGAAAACACTTAAACGGACCCCCAAAATACGCATCTGTCACTTATTTAACTTGCAAATTGCAAAGCATATCAAAGTGATTCGTGACAGAGGTTTGCAAGAGGCCAGGTGACATTAAGTTTTTTTGGGTAATTAGTTCAGCAACATCAACATTTACCAAGTGGAGATATTCGCCACGCGAACCACACTTTGCACAAGTTATAATGAAAGGCAGGCAAACCAAAAAGGACCTATTCTCTGCTTGAAATGCTGAACTGTAATATCTGCAAGCGATGAGCGCAACTGTGGGATGCAGAATTGGTGCTGGAAGTATAGAATGTAAAAACAAACGCATTTTAAACCAACTGGCTTCATTATCATTTTAGCCTTCAAGTCTTCTCATTACCGTCTACAAGGGGATTGCATTATAGGCTTTACTGAAGGTGGCATACGTCCTTCTATTAAAACTAAATCTATTCGCCATGCTCATGTGGCATGAAGTACCGCTCTTTCTCATGATACTAATCATCATACGATAATTATTGGCGGCCTTTCGTTGTTTAATTGCTTTGATAACTAGGATTCTTTATTGCTTGATGGTACACACTGATCTTATTGGCAGATTAAGGTCCCAAATCGCTTTAAAAAGCTTCAAAATTTATAAGCCGAATTGTGAATAGCCAATAGTCAATGAGACTCTGCTTATCGTACTCAGCCTTCTTCTCTAGCGTTAAAAGGGGCGAGAAAACCTGTCGATTGAGCCATTTTTGCTTTGGTGAAGCTGTAGCTGCGTGCAAGTGGTGGCTTCGCTGTGACCTCAGACAGCGATAGGCCAATAAGTGAAGGCAAAAGTGGTATGACTGCACACCCACCTCCAACCAGTTACCAGTTGCAGAACTCCATTGCCACGACTGGTTCATGAGTGTTCTGTTAACTCGTATAAAACCCCAACTTGAGGACACCAAATATTTGCACACCAACCACAGTTATTCCATCACCAGGAGGCGCATGCTTGAGTACGTTGCCTGCTCTCCTAGTAAAATTGTTCTCTCTATTTACACTTTTTTACGCCTTGTAGTCCAAATATCGCTCGCGAAATTTTAAAGCTTCTGGATTTTGATGGTTCTGGGACCGTGAAGACTTCTGACCTTCACGAGGCCTTCATGGGGACGGGTTTGTCGGAGGCCGATGTAAACGAATTCATTCGAAAGTATGACAGGGGCAATAAAGGCAAGATCAACTTGGAAGAGTTGACTGCTATGCTCGACAGTGTTCATAGAAAAACCAGTAGAGCCTCAATGAGCCGATGAAGCATTTAAAATTATGAGAATTCATCATTCAGTCCTTCATTCCTCCTGTGGTATGCAGATATTTTTTTACTGAGGCCTTTTTGTTATAAGCCCCAGAGTAAACATTGTCCATCATTTGTAACCAAATTTTCCGAGGCATGGTTATTTATTTTTGATTTGACTTTATTGGTCACTGGCCTTACCTCATCTAATTTTCGTCTAAATATGCTGCTTTAAAAGTTGGCCATTTGTATGTAAGTGTAGGATCAAAAAAGTCTTCATTGATGTTACACATAGCAAAACGAGATAGAAATCTGTGCACAATTAACATTAATGCTGATTTTTTAGCTTAAGAATGCTAACTGGTTAAGCTATACAGTAGCTGGCTGATGAATGTAAAGCCTCTTAGATGGGATTAGGACTCTGACTAGATTTCTAATTGAGAACAGAACTATGATTTCCGCACCTTGGGCATTCATTAAAAGTCCATTAAAAAGTTTTACCATTTTCCCAACTAATTAATACAGTTAGCAAGCTGGGCCTTTGTTTGTGCTTTCTCAGTTTCGCGGTCCGAAACTGCTACGCGTAAGTCCAAAAATTAAAAGAGGAGAAGGGAGATGGCGAATAAGGGCAGAAAGTGCACAGCCAATAGATTAATTTGAATATCAGCCTTTAGTGCCTGGAGAGGAGGTCAGCAATTGTCACTTTGGGTGGGCATGGTCATGATTCAATGGGGCTTATCACATCAAAAATGGCCATCTGAAGCATATCAAGCAGAACCTGAGAAACCGAGGTCATTCATAGGAAGAACCCAAGTGCTTTGAGGGACAGAAAGCAAAGTGTTTCTAAGGATTTCTCCCATTGTGAACTAAGCAATGCCTAAAAGCGAATGATTTAGTGCCCTGTTTGGAGTTCTGAAAACTGGTTCAAAATAAATAGGAAGACGAATGTTTGTTAAAAAGTGAGTTTGTCAAAACGAATTATGTCACCTCTCAAGTCTGCAATTCCCCTTGGATTAACAGGAATTTAAGTGTCTCCTTACGTTATGCTAATGTGCGGTACTTAAAGGTGAGGTGCGCACTATTTCAAATAATTGCATTCGTTCAGTTCTTGCTGCTGCCTTCTTTCAAACAATGGTTCCCATCACAAGGCATAACTGTTTTTATGTTGAGAATGACAGTTTGGCATTTGCTAGATGAATTTGGGGTTAATGGTTGAGTTGTTTTGCAGTAGTATGTGGTAGGTATTAAGATATCGTCTCCAACGAAACAAAATTTACTGCCACCTTGTTTTTTTAACTTCAGATGACATAATGTGAAAGCAAAGCTTGAAAGTTAAAACGCTCTGTGCAATGCTTCATCTACAGCCCAGTGGAAGCTTTGGGTTAGCTAGATTAAAGCAACTGGATCCTAGGCATTTTCTTTCGAAGAGGCAGAGACTGCCTAAGCGGCACAAATTCTTCCGCGTTAAATGGTATTAAAAGGCACAGAGGTGCGCATAAATTTAGGTACCTCGTTTCGTATACACTCAAACAGGATGCGCGGTATTGACAAGTGACTTCATGAACCCAAAACCCCGTAGCTGAATGAAATGTGGAAAATTTGCAAAAAACGGTGCAATTCAAATTACCCTCTTTTGCGACATCTCTGCAAATATTGTTTGAAAAGATGATAACTTTTCTATGCATCACCACCCTAGGCTATTATTCAGCAGCAGCACAATGAAGCGTTTGTCTGACAAACACAGGATAATTGCCCCCTTTTCAGAAAAATGCGGCCAAACTGTTGACAACTAACGTGCCATTTCCGAACAACTTGTTAGTCTACCAAACCTCAACCTAGTACAATATGCGATCGTATGTGAACTGGGGATGCGGTTTCAGATCTCCTCTTGGTTGCGTAACAATGACAACACCATTGCGAAAAAGTGATTAAAGAATTGGTACGTAAACAAAACCGTTCCTGACAAGTCAACTTCAATGCTGGCATAATCCAGAACGCCAGAAACAAACATTTAGCATTAAGTGAATGAGCTCAAAATGACCTTCAAAGGCAAGGTAGCCAATGAAACAGAATCATACGAGGTTTAGGTCAGATTGACACGAAACCAAATCAATTTTTGTAATAAAAATTCAGTGGGAAATAATGATATGCACACTGTGATCAAGTGCATAATAGCGGTTCAAAAGCTGAAAAGCAAATTGAAGAACCAGCTATTCGAATTTGATGGTCTTTCGTCTAACGCACCTCGCTCTTAATCATTGGGCATCCGAATATTTACTCACCTAGCCATAAGGTAGTAGCTTTGGTAAATATCATTCACTTCAAGACTTTTCTCTTCCAAAAAACAAATTTTTTCTGATATTAGAGAAGCCAAGTGTCGAAAACTTTAATCTTCCATTTAAGAGTAGCTTCCATTGTGCCTTTAATAATATATTCTCCTCACCAGTATCCCTCATCGTTAAGCTGCAAGTATAAAGGTCTCATCAAATCAATCATTGACAAAAGAAGATGATCCCCTAGGATTTATTTGAGCACAAATTTGTTGACTCTTTCATACTTTCATGGGGAATACTTATGGGTATTGCAGCACGCTGCAACCCCACTTCCCAGTGTATACTTAATGAAGGAGCAGTGACCTCATTATCAAAACAACATTTTGGGAAATTAACAGACAGAATCTCACACTTGCTATTTCTCATAGGGAATAATTAGTGCAATGTAGATTGTTGCCGATGAAATTGCCATCACCTTGGATGGTAAAAGGCAACGGCATGTGTAACTTCTGGATCAATGGCCTCAAATTTACTGACACAGAGAAAGGTGAGGGAGCTAACACCGAGGTGGTGATGAGACTCAGGCCTTTCCATCTTAGTGGCAAAATAATCCAGTTAGAATGCTAACTTTAATCATTATCTGTCTTACTTGAGCAAGCTATGGGGAACGAATAATAGTAGCGGGGGCGTTCACAAAACCGCCCACTTTCTCAAGCAATCTACCATTACCGGGGGCGTCAGTGAACCCTCAACGCCAATTGAACTTTAGCAGTCAAATACTTTGAGAACCCTGAGAACACCTGTCAGCAGTGACAATAGAGGCAAGCGCTAAAGGAGAGAGGGTAGCCAAAACAATAGAACCAGATATTAAGTTGCAATAACTGGTATTTTGTAGTCGCATAGATACAGTGCATCCTGCCACAAAGATTTCTTTTGCGTAAAAGTGGAAGGTCTCGCTCCTAGTAAGTGACTCACCGTCGAGTAGCCAAAACATCTGAGTGTATGATCATTTTGGCTGTTAGCTTTATTACAACTTTTTATCAAGATGAATGGCGTGGATTTATTCTCCTTAAGTGAACATATAGGGTGATACCACTAATTTGTCAACACATTTACTTAAAGATATTCAGAGAGAAGATCGCACTTTTTTATTATTCAGTAAATATAATTCTACGACCGCGGCGACTGGCTGTTCTGAAATGAGACAAAGAATATTCAACTGTTCCATTTCATATATCAAAAGTTCAATAGCTAGTATTTGATTCCTCTATTCCATCTCAAATAAGAAGGGAAATATTTTAAAGCAGAGAGATGGCGCATGGATTGAAATTATACCCTGCGCATTTGAACTAATTATACAGTTAAAGCTGTACGTATAATAGTGTCGGCATTCATGTCATAAAGAGCGTCCATCACTAAAACGGCATCAAAAGAAGCATCACTTACTTAGATATCCCTTGCATTAACAACAGATAGGAAGAGTAAAATATACAACACCAGGGACATTAGATAAAGACTCAAATGGGACAGCAGTCAAGGTTGATGGGGGATCTTGTCACCAGGGACGACTTTGCCACGTATCCTCAAATTGTGGTCCCCACGATGCTGATCGCTTCTGCGTCACGACCCAGCAGCAAACATGCAGATGCAATCACCCCAGATTTGCTTATTTTAACATGAACATGATTGTACCAATGTCTAAATCATCATTTGCATCATACTTTTAGGTTCAAATTATGTGCAAATTAGGTTCTTCCTTAACAAATCTTTGGTCTCATGGTAACTTTAATAATACGTCAGCATCAGTTTTCTAGTTTCCTTTACGATAAGACGAAATCGAACAAGTGTATAAACTGAAGCAATGTTTGCGATGTCTCAAAATAAAGACGAAACTTTCTTTGGGGGGTTTAAATGATGGAAACCACCTCCCAATCTTTTAATTAAAAATTCATCAGACACAGCAAAACTAATTAGTATACTGCTAAATATTTTGTTTATTTAGATACCTAAGATGCATAATTCAACAAGACTATTGCAAGAAACGTTAAAAGATTTCCTTTTGTTTATGGGTCTATCAGATAAAGAAAAAGGCGGAGTGGTAGTAATTAGTCCCAATTAAGTGCGTCACGTTATTAGTTTTGCCAATGATCTGGTACCATTGTCATCTTAGTATAGTGGAGTTAAAACTACAACTTAAAGTGTATTTTCGCAGAAGAAGGTGAGTCTTGGACAGGGATTTATCTTTCGCTCCTCTAAGACTTGACAGAAGGGCAAATTTTAGGCCCATCGAATTGTTTGAGTTTGGGCTTAACAGCTCAAAAACCAAATATACTAGTGTAAAAGTGCCTAGCGCATCGAATATTTACCATCGACTGCAGCGATGAGGAAGAGAGAGAGGAAATTCTAGGGGCCATTTCTTGGAATTCGAAGAGAAATAACTGATGAGGCCAAAAAGTCCCAATAGTTTGTTAAGTCATATTTTAAATGAAGCATTTTCAATGGATGCCTAGGTAACTTATGGAGGCGTGCAATTTCAAGGGCCAGAAAATAGTTAAACCTTAAATAAAGGAAGTGTTGCAAACAAAGATGGCAAGGTCTTATGCGAAAAAAAAATTAGAGAACTGTGACACTGCTTTTATGCTTGTACAGTTGAAAGTGCGCAATGGCTTCTTAAACAAAATTACCCAAGTTGTAGGGTCGTAGTTTTAACATTCCCATTTTTCTTTCAAATCTGAATATACGCTTTCTTGATTTTTCGCGCACAGTTTGGTGCGGCTGTCCTTTATATTAATGGAAAGTGATCACAGTTGACCATCTAGAAGGCAAGGCAAAGAGGCTATTAAGCTTTTACTTCTTATGAAAATCAAAAGTACTCTTTTGTTATACGAAATCAACATAGATGGTCGGTTTTTACGTTTCGTGCCTTTGCATAATATCATTATATCGAGTGAGAAATAGAAACTGCAAGATGACAGATTTGAATAAGTTAACAGATTTTAAAAAAGCGTGCCAACAAGACTTGCTTGTAGAGGCGTTTTAACGGTGCAGCATGGAATATAAAATCAACTTGGTTTTTGCTTAATCCATTTTTACAATCAGGCCTCCCACTGAACCTTTTAATGGTCACGTGTATGTCATGCGTTTCTCAGACTCTGTTAAATGGTAATGTGTAATTTAGAAAGAGTCACCTCTTTGTACCAGTGCTTTGAGTAAAAACAGCTTAGCATTAAACCGATCTGCAGCACCATAAAGGGGTGAGGTTAGCTTCTTTTAATGCGCAGCTTCACTAAAAGGTCTTTCATACTGAATCAAATTTTAGTCTTCTGCAGTTATTTTTTAAGTCTTTTGATATAAATAAAATATGACTATGCCGATTGGAAGGAATTAATTGAGGTTCTTGAGTACCGCCCTTTGATTGAGACTTACATTATAAAATTTAGGAAAGGACATGACGGCAGAGGAGACGAAAGCATGAACTGGCGGGAAAAGCTGACCTTCCTTCAATTCCCTCCCACGTAAGGAATGGTTGAGTCACTTTCGAGTTTATTCCAGAACAAACCCAAAACTCTGTTCCTTTTTCTCAAATCGCATTTTGATGCACTTCCTGTGAATATAGCCTCAATACTATTTCCAAAAACTAAGTAGGCAGAATTCAAAGGTAAAAAAAATTGTTTGATTAATTTTACTCTACTTCCAGCTTCAATGAGTAGATGCATTATAAGCTTACGCTCTAAAGTTACGCAATCTTATGAGGATCATGTATTTCAGTGGGTGTTGAATGAGGCCATGTCTGTGGAGTGGTTAGCTGAGTCTTGCTTCCCTTGTAAATTGGTGCATCCGATCAAGGCTAGTGTAGGTAGTACCCTGTGAATCTGAGGGCCAATAAGTGGATAAATAGAGGCAATCTAACAAAATTAGCGTTTCGTTAACATTTCACTTAACAAGTATTCTGAAATCCGATTTCATTTCTACTAAAATTTATAAATAGACTGCATCGACTTGAGACGTGTTGATAAAACCTTAAACGATATTTGGCAAAAGAAAAATATAAGGTCCTTGCTCCAGTGATTTGGTGTGTTGCTTATAGTGCTCGGTACGGTAGCTTATCATCCAACATATATTCAGGTTGGAGGTAGTCGAAGATTTTACTGCTTTTGTTTAAATTGATGTGAACGAGTCTGATACAATCGGTACTAATGAGCATTCAGAGGTGCTTGTAGACTCCGAAAGAGGGAAGGATGTGGTGAGAGCTTTATTCGCATACCGTGACAAGGGTAACAGTAAAAAACTCGATACGCTGAAAAGCAGGAACTTCCAAACTAAATGTTTCAGCCATTTTTATGCTCATCATCCCAGTAAATACCCTCCTTGAGAAATTTATGTTCGGGCACCATTAATTTATTATATAACTTGATTAAACGTTTAACAAGTTAGAAGAGATTGTAAACCGCCTTCCACACTTCTGTATAGATGTGAGAACTAACGAAGGCAGTTGGACCAGTAATAAACATTTGTGTCTTTACCTGCCATCTTGATGCGCGTGTCTGCTAAGTTGTCCATCCTTACGTTATAGAGCAATATTCGTTAAGCTGGGGCGAAAGTAAAGAAAAAAACTCATAAATTAGTTGGATTATATGAAAGTGAAGCTTCCTTAAATGATTTTGGTGAGTGGGAAGTGAATCGCAACCCCAAATGCATCAAGAATGTGCAAGTACATCAGTATGGGAATAAATGTTACCCCACTGTCGCCTCTAGATTAATTTTAAGGTTCAACGCTTACCTTAAAAGTGATAAAAATACAAAGTAGGCATAACAATGAAGATCAGGCGGAATGAGAGGAGAAACTTTAGAACGATTTCGCAAAAAAGAACCCTGCAATGCCTAAACGTAAGCTATAGGCAATTTCTATTTGAGCGCTGAATCTGGCCATACCCGGAATCATACCAGCCCTGATTTCAGAAGGATGAATACGTGGGTGATTAATAGGAAGATATAAGAGCAAGCGCCAAGTGTCTTAAGGAAGGCAATTTAATAGGAGTCAGTATTCGGCTTCACATTCACGGGTTTGAAAAAATGCTAAGAAACATCCCAAGAAGGGAATCACCAAGCTGCCTTAGTCAGCAAAGAGGTGGTAACCATAATCGGAGAATGAGGATAAAGTTTATTGTAAAATCCTTTAGACCACATTAAAATTGACCACGAAAGTGATACAAACTGAAGAACTTTAAAATGACAAACGAAAATGTCTAGCACACGCCGCAACTCTCGTGGTCAACGACGAGAGTGGAGACCAGTGCACCCGGCTAACAAGCAGAACTGCATACCACCCGAATAATGGCACCCTTGCAGAGAGTGAGGGAGCAAAGGTGATTATGTGCAAAAACAACCTAATTTATTTCGAGTTATAAATGGTGAAAAAAGAGAACTATGATCCATCAACTCTATTAAAACTAAAAATCATCGAAAATGAGTGCTGGAACAGCTGCCTAGGTCTCGTAGTGGGAAAACCACATTCCTAAAAGTACCTACTGGAAACCAGTAACACTTCTTTCACTGTCTGTAGGGATTTTCACAGCGTTAATAAGTCGGATTTGACGGTTGTTTCATTATTCAAATCGGAACCTGTTTGTGCTTAGCTATTCAGGCTAAGTTGAACAGCCACCAACAAATCGTGTTGAATCAAGTTATTTCATGCTTCGACAGTAAAGACATGCATACCTGCATGCATTTGCAGGCAGCGTGGTTGAATGCCATTAGAGACGATAGCCTGACGTGGAAACCACGTGCCACCGTATGGCGCTACCTTTGAGGGAAATTGGAGGCACGTGCTCTAAAGTGAATGTGTTTGCGGTTAAACTAGCACCCGATTTTAGTTGGAAAAAGTTCTTAAAAGTCACCTCACTCCCATTTTATTTCAGTTGCAAAAAAGACTCTACAAATTGGTCAAGTAATATGCGACAACTGTATCCCTTAATTTGTTTAAAACACCTCCATTCTTAATTCAACAGATGACCCAAAATACGCGATGTTATGCCCAGTTTAAGGACTTGGAGAGAAGCTTGATCAAGGACGTGATTACGCATCGGTTTAAAGAAGATACCTCACTAAACGCTCGGAACTGTGATTCTTTATTCGGTGAACACGGCGAAAATCGAGTCGAAATTACATTGTAATCTAAGCCGCAAAACAAGCGTGTCTCTGGTTTATTCAAAAATAAACTTTAATTTACCTCACTCCCTAAAGTTTTCCAGATCTAATCTAGCATAAAGAAACTACATGACACAAGGGTAGCATGAGTTCTATATTATTCTAGCATATGCTAGCATCTTTGTAGACCGCAGCTCTAAAGGTGCACCTCAAGTTCTTTTGCGTTAAAAAGACCATCACCGTCTTTGTCGTGCTTGGCGACGAAATTCCTGATGTATGGTTCCTCGATTCCTGTCGGCGTTCCTCGGTATCAACCGCAACAGAACCATCTTTGTCAACGGTAGCTAGGACTTCTTCTGCGGCTTTTTGAATAAAAAGATGAAAAACTGAAGCAAAACGCCTAAATTTTGACACTACTGCGAATAGCAAAAGGCTACACTTGCAAGGACATACTGCAGGGTAGTCGCATGAGCTACAATACCCTTTATTTGTTTGTTCAAGACTGCTTTGGGACTTGTACGTGCGAACTCTACTGGACCATTTCTTAGGTCATTGCAACTGCAGGAGCTAAGATTTAGTACTTTTGCTGTTCTCTTAGGCTTTTAGCAACTTATCACTTTTCACACGTATTTAGTTAGAATATTAGTAAAATAACAACAGCTAGATAACTAGTTATCAGTCCCCTCTCCAGTTCAGTGAATGAATTTTTGTATATTTCCCAAGTATCCTCCTCGGTGGATAAAAGAAACGCTTTATATTCCATTTACAAGAAGTTTAGCTTATGCAAACTTTTAGCTAATAACTTCTGAAAGTAGGACATGATTTTACTAAGTCATTTACACAAAAGGCCTCAAAACCTTCCCAAAAATTATTAGAGATGCTTCCACTTAGAGTAACTCAAGTTGATGTCTACTGTGAAACGTCCCTAAATTACTTTAGATTAGTAGAGGTGCAAGTTACGTTGGAGAATACACTCAAAAGTGTCATTGAACTGAATTTTCCTTATGCTCTTGTAAGTCCCCTACTTTTACCTGAGTGGGAAGATATCTTTGATAAGTGTTAAATCCATCAAGGTAGAAAATAGAGTTAACCTGACCCTCCAAACACTCCTGGTTTAGGCAGCATTCTAGAATTAGCGTATTTTTACTGTTAGCAACCGAACTTTTATCCTATTTTAGTGGAAAATGAACTAAAGATTCTAGTGGAAAGTAGCAACGAACGACACAGTCCAAAGCTTTCTAGTAGATCAAACAATATGGACTTCAAATTGGTGTCGATCTCTAGATTTGACAAGTTTCCAATCACTTGTTAAAAACTAATGGCAAAAAACCGATTCGCAACTGTGAGAGGTTAAACTGATTTCCTTATAAAATGTAAATAAGTGTAATACCTCAATTTTCTAAAAACTGTATACTGCACCAGTCTCCCGGCCTTTCTTCTTTCGCTTCCGTAGCTCTCTTCTCCTACCAAGGGCAATGAACCATCCTACCTCTCCCAGGTGTTTAGCACGGTAGGCAGCAAAAGATAAAACTGTAGTCACTAGATGCTCAGCAAATTTTGCGCATTGATTGCATAACAAAAGGTGTGCCATAAGTCGGTACTGACAACACAAACTCACTTGAAAGAAGGTAGGAAAATTTGTCTAAAGTGCTAATCATATCAATGAATTTCTTGAAGGCTTGAATATTACACTAATAAAAGGAAGTTAGGTACAAAGGACAGGAGGGAACTGGGGAAGACAAACTTGTGATGCTGTGGTATTAATTTAACAAATAATGCCTACACTCAGGTTGCGCAACGTTTATTTCGACGTGTTACCTCTTCTTTGATAGCATGAATTACCACGACTCAAGGCTGCGCATAACTTGATAGGAGTGCAGACATTTGCGAGATCATGGCATCTTTATAGTGATTTAGCATTTAAACAAGGTTTTTTTAAATCTTTACAGTTCAGTTCTTTTCCGTTTAAATCAATGTTTAGGCCTCACATAGCGTTCAAATATCCACTAGAGTCCACTGCGTTAAAGCCATCTTTGCCAATTAAATTTACGAAACCTCATAATTAAAAGTTCACTGTGATTTATAAAATATCATGTTAATACTTTAGTACTGCTTCAATTTGGTAAGTCAGAGAGACTACTATGCAACAGCATGACAAAAAAGTGGTGAAATTACACAGACACTAAATCCACTGTATCATTAATATCCGATTCGTTTGTTCTATGAGACACCTGGTCTCATTGAGGTTTGCGGCATCATTGGGGTGATGGCATTGTGAAAATCCGAATCTCTCATTTGATTGCCGATTCTGCCTTTATGGCGGTAAAATTTGCAGCCCTCTCTGAGATGTTATGCTGCATACTCTCTTCAAAAACATGCAAATTAAAGATAACCATTTTGGCATTCATCAAACGCTTGGTTTCTTTTGAACTCACCGCTACCATGGCAAATTGTCTTGTGTTTATTGATCTACTAAAAGAAAAAGTGAGACATTGCCTAACTTCATGCACTTTTCTTGAAAAATGAAGCTGCGGAATCTTACTCCTTCTAAGTTGTAAATCGCATCTAAATGTGATGAAGAAAGACTTTATTTACCCGAAAGGACAACTCATAGCTTTGAAAGAAATTCAAGATTTAGCCATTTATAATTGAATATCATTATGCAGTAAATGATATATTTGAGAGGGAATAGATATCAAAATTCTAAGAATCACTTGTATCAGTAAAGTACTGATGACATGCCATGTTCTCTAAACTCGTGATTCCCCAAGAAATATTTTCGGTCCTTCGAAATTAACTCTGCCATCGTTGTTCATGTTGTATTCTGCAACGAACTGCTTCACAAAATCTCCACTGATTTCTACGTCTCGCAGTTCTTTCAAAGGCTCCCAAGGGTCAACTATGACCAAACCGGCTTTATCACTCAAATTTATGAACTTCTTAGCAAAAGATAAGCTGAAAATAGCTAAAATGGCCGTTCCTTATGACACTCTAGCTGAGGCACAAATACTGTGGTATGTTAAGTAGTGGTGAGGTTATGCCGACAATCCGAGCATGGGCTAATCTTTCATTTTGATCACCACTTTGACGACCCAAAGAATTGATGAACGATGACCGTTAAATTTTGACAGATGAATATAAGGTAATACTTGACTTAATTTGAGTGATCCGTTTCAAAAGACACCAAAACGAGTGGATTTGTTCCATTTTGGCCCTTATCTGTTTGTCACATTTTAACTTCACTCAAAGTCAATTAGAAGTAATAATTTAGTACTATCCATGAATAAGACTAAAGGATCACCCTGAATTCCTTTAAATTGCATAAATGCCTAGAAGAGACTTCTTATATCTTTTGCGTGCCTATTTCGATGGTTTATTCCACGCTCCAATAAAGCTAAAGGGTTCACTACACGACATTCGACTTGCAGAAACCGCCCACAGGCCAGTGGTGGAACACTGGAGCTTGTGCGCAAATTAAATAACAGTGTACAGTGGTGAATAGGCGGGAGCGATATCCTTAGGAATTATGTCAAAAAGTGCACAAAGTCGTTCTTGACTAAAATTTTTTCTATTTACCTGCCTCGTTTGTGTTAACTACTGAAATTATCGACCCTGTTTGTACATAAAATAAAATAACATAGAATGTCACATGGAAAGGATTCAGATTACTTTTTGAAACATAAATGTAAGGTTAGATGACCAAAACGCAGTATTTGGCCTCAAAAGGAAATATCGAAATGCTTTAATAGCGTAAAAGTCTTATGATCTTCCAGTAAATGTACAGCATGAGACAAGCTGGTACAGAAACATTGTTTGAATGAAGTACCACTTATTAACTAAATGCTGCTAAGTAAATATGATACCTATTGGGGGGGGGCTGGTATGTGTGAAACGATGAGGAAAAATCCCACTTTATGGCAATGCCGTTCACCCAGAAAATTTGGGCTAACTGCCGCGGTACGGGTCGTGCTCAGCCGCGAACGACAATTTAAAATTCAACATATTTTGGACAGCTTCCTAATCCCAACGTATTTCTTCAGCGTCGAATGTCTTGGCCAGTCAATTCCATGATTTCCTAAGTGATCATTTTCTAAGATGGTGGACTCAGCATCGTGGCAGGAAATGTAATAATACGACATTGCAAAGCTCATCTATTTATTTCAATCCGTTGTGGGATGCCGATCTACTCTATAGTAGAACTCCGGACACGAGGTCGTACACAAATTTCTTGGTGTGAAAGCTTTTTTAGAGGTTTGTACGTTTTCGTTGCAAAAATTCTTGCAGCTTTTCTGCAATTTTTTGCCTCTTGTTGCGTTAAAAGTATACCATTGTAGTTTTTGAGTAAATTATATTAAGATTATTTCTCCTCAATTTTAATTTGATATTTTAATTACTGAAACTGTTGAGAGAAATCACGCTAGAATTATTCCATTTGCATACATACCTCGAAAATTATGCAATCGAACATGATTATCTTTGCTGTATTTTTCATATTTTTAGGTCTCCGGTACCTATTTTGTAGATTTGGTGAGAGCATTACGGCCACTTGCAGAAGTGAGAGCGTTTATTTAATGATTATTTCCCATTTTACGCCATAAAAGACGCACACTTTGTGTCTTCGTAGCAAGTTAACGAAAAAAGGTGTCCAAAATCCATCGTCTGAAGAACCTGCTTATTAGGCATTCAAAAGGAAATAGCTTGCGGATTCTTTCATTTAGTGACCTCCAGTATTCCAAGCGCTTTTAATACCTGTCTCCTATTCTACAAGGTATTAGTTAAAACAAATTGCTAGTTGTTTAGAAACAAAAATCAGATCTCCAAAGGTATTTATAAAGAAATTTTTTGTGGTTGATGACAAATAGGTAATGTCCCAAATGCACAGGTGGGTTGGACGCTATAACTAATGTCTAAAAAGCGGCGAAACAAGGTGTGATGGCTCTGACGACGTATACCAACCCGATTGCCGAAAGTAAAGTTAAACCAGATTGTGCAACCAATGTTTATATGAATTCATCTTCTTGCAATCTGTGCCACGGGACATCATTTCAACGTTTGGCTAGCATTTCTAGGACTTGGAAAATAATAACTCTCTTTTGATGCTCCTTTAATCGCATAAAAAAGCATTTCCTTCATAAAAGGAAAGGTATTATTCACTGGTACTCACCACCTTGATGATAAATGGGCGCCAACAAACCTTTTCCGATTTACCTAGCGACTAATGTATTAAGTTTGTAAAAAATTATGATCCCTTTTAACGTTTTTATTTTCACTGTTGAATCTCTGGCACCTTACAACTGCCAATGTATAAATCCTGCATTTTAAAAATTTGATTCGGTGACAAATCATCATTTCATTTAGAAAATACATTTAATCTCTCTTTTTCTTCTTGCATTTCTCCAGTAAACAAAAAAGCCTGCATTTAAATTTATTTGCATGGAGTACTCTTGTCCAAATATATTTTATCGGGTCTTCGTAGACAGCTTTGAGCTGATTTCAGAGAATACATGCACATGATAATCTTTTAGCTCGATTTTTTGGATATCAATGTTTAGTCAATAGTTTATCTTCATAAATTGAAGATTTTAACCTCAACACCGGTCCCGCAGTATCTTTTGATCTTTTGTCAAGCCTAGTGTTTCTAGGCGAGTAATCTTTTCCCACAGCCTTAAATGTGAGTCTGTGCATGTGATACCCAAATCTTCAGTTTTGTTTTTTGTAACAAAAGTTTTAATTTGTGCAAGTATTCGAGGGTGTGGCATTCCTCAGCCACAAACAAACATTTGGTTGTCTATACGCATCTTATGGCAAGTGTGGTGGGTTCACTTAGTTTAAAAAAATAATGCGACACTTATGAAGACTACATCATTTTTTGCGTTTTATTTCCTATGTACCTCAAGACATATTTTTTTGAGTTAAGCTACTCATTACATCTCAAATAAAAAATCATTGGTGGTGTTATTTCAGGGACCAATAAGTTTTTTGCGCATTAACCCATTAAATGGTGCCGACAAATATGACTAAATGTCAGAAAACAACATCCAAGTGTGCAAATAGGATAATTTTCATGCTAGATTTAGTTCACACAAAGGTAGTAAGCTTCAAATGCTTCGAAATACAATGGAGGTAGGAGAGGCCTTCATGAGGCATCACTTGAAACAACAAAAGTATTTTGTGAAAAAGCAAAATAATTGTCCTTTTATTAGCATTATCCAGCATGCATTATCACTTGTAGGGCATTTATAGTACTTGAACGTTTTTTTTTAAATTACAAGCACCCGCAAGAAGCAAGGAAATCCTTGAGTTCTTTCAAATTGAGTTGTCCATCATGATCCTTATCATGTTCATTGATGAATTCTTGAACCAGTTTTTCGTCGAGTCCAGACTCACCGAGAGCTGCCAGAAGCTCCTTCGTGTCAATTGTTCCAGAGCCGTCTTTGTCCACAGATTGGAGGAATGCTTCCACCGCTCTTAAAGCAAACCCGCCAAGATTTTCAAATTAGCAGTGAAATTTTAAAAACAGTAGTAAAAGCATAGAAGCATTAAGAGGCACAGAAGGAAGCAACTGCGAACTTCGACTTACGAAGGCATATTGGTTGTAGATAACAAGGTCGAGAGTGCTCTCTCAATCCTGTGATATATATGCATATATATATACGTCGATTTGCTAATGGAGTCCAATCACCTGCGGGCACGCACGCCCACCTCTTTGCGCGCACCATTGGTCGACTGGTACGAGTGAGTGGATTGACCTTGAGTGTAATCTGGCACTGACGCACATTTTCTGGTGGTTTAACAAAAGCGGTGTTTCTGCTTTGCTACTTTTATAAAATGCACGTAAGTTGAATAAGGCGATTTCGACTGTAACAGTTGTACTGTTTCCATCAGCTAGTTTATATCATTATTCTTCTTGGTTTCTGTTAAGATGGACAGCCATCAAAACACGTCTAGATCATTTAAAATACTCAATTTTTACCCAAAATATGCTTAGAGTATGAGATAGAGTGCACAATTTACAACTCCGGCTAAAGTAAGCATCGAGTTTTAATGTCTTAAATATGCAGACAGCCGTCCACCACGCCTGGCGTCGCGCACATTGGAGCGCTCGAGGCGACTTGGCGCACATCGGGCGCGCTGTGTGAGCGCACAGCTTCCTTGTGCCCTGCAAACACCATTAGCACACAGCCAATTTACCGACTGATCCTCCCTTTATGGCATGAGTAGCGTGCGGTTTCAAGCGCTAGTCGAAACACCCTCGTCTAACTTCATTCATCTACAACCATGTGAATGTGTGCTCCTACTAGGACACATAAATAGAATTATCTTTATAATACTATCTAATGTTCGGGGATCTGGCTTACTGAATGAAGTGCACCTCCAATCGTGATTAATTTTCTTAATGTTTAGTGCATAGCGAAGTACTTAATGAAGTGATCGCTACTCTAATGGACCTGTTGCTTGTATTATCGTTGGGATTATTGCCAAATGTAATCGAAAAACTTAAGGATTTGACAGCCAAAAAGACCCGTTGGATTTTCAAATTGACTCTGAAGAGTAAATAAATCTGATTCACGGGCCCACGGCTGAGCAGTTAGGGTTATCTTGCGTGCTTTTCACCTAACCTTGAATGTGCTCCTCTTCATACTGACGGCGTGCGGCAAGCAACCAATGAAGCGTTAGCAGGTGAAAGTGTCGACCTCTGTAGAATATCTTCTCTAACTCACTGTGCATTATCAAGAATTAGCAAGGCTTTTCAGCATACGATCAAGTCACAGGATGCCCTGGTAAGTGCTATCTGTAACATTCCATCTTTTCCTTTATTATCACTTCCTGAATGGGCAATAAACCCTTTTTTGTTTTAGCTCGCAAACCGTGATGACTTTCTTGAAAAGAATCGACAAGGATAGCTCCGGTACAATAGATGCAAGGGAGCTCCTCGAAGCTCTAGGCGATTCTCGTATCAAGGAGGAACAAGTTCAACGTTTCATCGAACAATATGATAAGAATAAGGATGGAAAGCTAGATCTTAGCGAACTTATGGACTTCTTTGAAAGCATTGGTTTGTAATTGTTTAAAATTATCTATTTTTGTCAATAACCAACTATTTCATAGACCTTCTCCTTTTATTGTGCTCTTTGAAAGGGAAGGGATAAACAAATAATTAAATAGGTAGTTATTTAGCATACTTCCACTGTAAACCTCGTTGGTCTTGGTGTTTTTACTGAGTGGACAATGCTTTGTTAATGGGTACGTTCAATCAGTCTTCTGAGAAACTGATTTATTTTTGTTTAATAGTAGTGTTACATAGCTGAAAAGTCTAAAAACACCTTTTTTAGGTTGTTTCCATCCCGCCATTTAATGATTAGATTCTTTGTAAGGTTTATTTGTTAGGCATGTCAAATGTGTGATAAACTAAGCAAAAATAAGGGAAGAATGACTGAAATTAAATCGAATTGCCCAAAAACGAATTGTAGATCACCACCGGTTACGATCACGAAGATATTGGCATCAAAAAGTAATATAGAAGCCCAGAATAGTAATGCTATCATCTCATTTGAAGAGAGCTCGAATTTAACTGGTTTTTACAATTTCATAGAAAGTTACTCTTAAAGAGCGAAATTGCACAAAACTGAAGGACGTGGCATTTTGTTTTTCTCCTACGTGAACTTGCAATATTCACGCCAGCGCGTGAGCTAGGAGGGCACAAAATCAACCTTCTTGTGCATCGTGGTTTCTCACTTCAGCGAATTACCTAGAGTGCAAAATGGGCCACTTTGGTGCATTTTTCATTCTCTTAATAAAAGCTTGATCTACAATTTGATATGTCGCGATGCATTTCTATAAATTACATGTCTGCACTCAGAAATAGCGTCATCAACTGGTTGTGTGGATCTACACCCATACTATGCTTTGGATCGTCTTTTACGTAAGATCTTTGACAGAAAACGGCACTTATCAATCGAGTCACCGGTGAAGAGACACTCGGATTTTTGCTGCTTCATTTTGACTGGAAAATCTACAGTGAGAATAATTTAGGGAAAAGGAATGAAATTAGGGAGACACGAATGATACTGAAATGTCATTGTCTTGAGATGCTATCTAGGCCCAATAACTTGCTCAGTTCGATAGTAAGCCTGCGTGGGGAGCTACAACATGCCTTCATTTGAATAACTTCCATATCATTTGACTAATTCTTCTAAAATGCACACCTCTATTCCTTGCCAAATCTATGCTTGGAAAATGAATGAGAAATGCCCGTTGGAGATACTTAATGTTTCCCAAATGATGCAGTTGCCCAATACACCATGGAACAGCGACTTGACTGTAATAACCTCTATACTATCACTAGTCTAGTTTCCACCAGATATCTTAAAAATAGCCATTTTCAATGCACCGGTATTTTTAGTCAATTAAAATGAAGATACAATTAGTGCTCCAAGTCTCCTTTGAAATCGTGGCAGGCCGAAGTAGTGTGGAAATACATGTATTGGTAATGTAGAGAAGAGCTGGAAGACCATGCTCTGGGGCTCTAAGGCCAAACGGCGGGGGCAGAATCGACCACGTAGTTAAACAAAGTATCAAGCCACAAAATTATTTCAGAAAGTAGAGCCTTTGGAAGTGTTTTTAAAAAATGTGATGTACTATCAAGAAATGTTCGAATGCCTAGAGACCAATACTACTGAAAAAGTCCATTAGTTCGTCGACATTCAGCTCTCCATCACCATTCTTGTCGATTTTTTTGATAAATTCTTTCACTTGTTCCTCTTGTATATCGTCGCAGTTAAGTGCAGCCATGAGTTCTTTGGCACTGACCGTTCCTGATCCGTCTCGGTCCAACTGCTTGAGCAATTCTTTGACTACTTCTGAGCTAAAATGTACAATTTAGCCAAAATTGACTCATCGTTGAGGTACATTCATCTAAAAGCAATGAAATGTATAAGAGGAAGAAAACTTGTGACAGTTTAAAATGAATCTGGCTCACCAAGGCATGAGTTTGTATAATGAGACTACCCTAAAATAGCTCTCCTTTTAACCGCCAAAACATGTTAATTAATATACACGACAATCACCATTGGTTTGCTTGATTGTGTGCGCAGGCCTGTAAGTGGTGATTTGCAGGTCAAGGTGTGAAGAGACGAGTCTGAGTGTAGTAGTGTTGCCACTACTTTGAAACTGCATCTAACCATATGCCATCACACGATTACTTAGCAGGACGCATACGTTAACTGCCAAAAGAAGCTACCTATATATGCTCAATTTCCTTCAAGCTATTCAAATCCAACAAGCAATCATCAGAAGTCTTTTCTGGTGCCTTGAAAATGGGACACAGTTCATCGTTTGGCAATGGTGTTTAGTTTTTTAAACTGATATAATTACACACCTGACTAATATGTGATTTTGTTTATATGATTGCTAAGTTTGGAGTGTCGCACTCTAAAGACTCTGAAGGCTTAGGAACTTCACAAATTCTCTTATGTAGTAGCAAGTAAAACTCAAGTGATTGTAGAAGAAAATGGGAAAATTAGCACTATTATTTATGTCTTTTCAGTTTAAACCTGAAAAGACTATACTGTCTCGGTATAAAACCAAGAAATTCAAAACATGCCTAGATTTTTCCCGATTGTATATTTAGCACTGTCTGTGTACAATTCCAAAGAAAAACGGCTCGATTATAACAAATCTCGTGTAGTTATCAAAATGTGATTGGACCGCTCAGGGTAGTACCAACTTAGAAATTTTCAGCCATTTTCTATAAATTCATTCGACAAAAAGTCAAAGATATTTAGAAGTCCTATTCTCTATAGCCGTCTCATAAAAACGGATTGCTGCATGAGAAGTGAATATTTTTGGGCATCTCGGGGGCCAACGCTAAGGGTAAATCTCCCTTATTAGCCCAAGACAAACTTTTCATCAGCGTTTTTATCGACTAATTTTACAGGTCTCCTCACTTGAATTATCTAGAAGCTTCGCCGAATCCACTCTGTCAGATTTATCCATATCCAGCTCTCTCATTGATTCTTCAACTGCTCAAAGGCTGGAATACTAGGTTTCACCAAATTCCTACTTTTTACAATAAATCTGTTCGACATTTGCGTTTAGATGGAAAAGGGAAGAGTAATGTTTGACAGTATGAAGGAAGCCGACCTCCAAAATATGGTTGTGCGACATAATGAACGTAGGGGCTTATACACGTACACTTTTAAAAGCTGTGAAAATAGGATAAAGGTCGATTTTGAATGACTGGTTGTGGCGACAGTGGTGTAGTGGGTTGTGTGTCACGTGATTTTAGGTGATTTTGAGACATGCTTATTTTGGCAATAATTTGTAACGCCGCCCCGCAATTTACTGCAGTAATATGACCTTTTCAAATGAGCGAGCGCATTGTGCCCGGCAAGGTGTATTTCTACTTTATGATCTGCCTGATGAACCATGTTAGTAGTACTTTGGCCTTCCTATATGCCAGTACTAAATATTCCTTGAAATTCCCTTGGGCTGTTAACGGCGCAGAATGCTACACTACCACTATGTGGTCATTCGAAATAAACATTAAAATTGGCCTTAAATTAAGAAGGATCAAATAGTTAAGAAACCACAAGGTACATCATGTTTTTTTTTTCATTTGTTAACATTTTCAAAGACTGTGGCTAATGGCACGATTAAATATAACGGTAAAGCAATTGGGGTTTCGAGTTTTCTTTAATATTTCCCCAAAAAACACTGGCCATCTAATCCTGCTTTGAAATAGTACTTCACGTAAAAAATTATGCCTTGCTTTGCCTTAGGGCAATCCAATTTGCGATCTTTCAAGTGATTTGATGCAGACCATTTCGCCTGAATTGTAGAATTACTTAGTGACCACACCAATCCAATGATAGCCATCGAATTGGTAGGAGATGAAAATATTAACTTAAAAGTCTGAAAGATGCATCCAAAACTGCAGACCTTATATCACTGGACTACAACGCTCAGTGTTACATTAAACGGATGAAGTAGAACACTTCTCAGAGAAAATACGGGATTAATTTAAAGAATCTAAAGTACCATTGACATTGTTTCGGTTACCACTATCTTACATTTTGAAACAATTTTTGACTAGAGAAACGGTTTGATGCCAATGGTATCTGTCCTAATAAGAGCCGTATCAAGAGAATGTAAGGTTCCTGATAGTTGTGTCTGGTTCCAGGATAAAACAAATTTTAGTTGGTAAAAAATAAAATTCAGGAAAATTAGTTTGTAGCTGCATTATCACGAAGAGAGTATAAGCGTGATTGTCTAAAGGCAATTCGGTTGAGGAAGATCCTTAGTTTTTCTACATCAATTAATGACTTCATTTGACTCGCGTTAACTTCACAGGACCGAACTGCAGCGAGGGATTTTTTAACATCTACTGCGCCTCGGCTAATTGCTCATATAATGCTTCAAAGTAACAATCACCTCACATGGGATGAGATGGAGGGAGCAAAAGTTAACATCTATGAGAACATGGAATAAGTTGCACTCACGAAGGCATACTTATGGGTATTATCTGGTTTAATCAAATGCCACGCTTTATATCTAGCCCGATAGAGATTACCAAAAGTAGCTAACAGTCATATTTCACCACCAATACTGGCACATTCCATGGCATGTGCAGCCTTGAGACGTTACTCTGAGCCCCTCGCGGATCGACTGATGCCGAGTTTTGAATGGCCCATTCAACATCCTGTGATGTTGTAGCATCCCCTACTGCTACTTTTGCATTTGACATTAAAGGAGATTTTTTTCTTTGGGTATGAGACACCGTGAGAAACATTTTGGAAAACAAAAGGTTGATTTTTACTTTTCATCATTCATGGCATTTGTAAAAAAGGCCGCAGTTGGCGCAGGTATTTATTTAAATTTACCAATTAAGATACTGAATCAACCGAATTTCACTGCAAATACATAATTTTAAAGTGAAAATCCGAGCTGATTTTGTAAGTTGACCTGTCGGTTATGCCTTATGGATGCTCAGTGGGTTGTGCGTCGTGAGCAGCAATGTCCGCAGATTTCCTTCTCAACTTACATATGACATTTGGCATTGTGTTCCTCGAAATTGGTTTGGGAAATAAGCCCCTTTTTAGGGTCAACCTTATCTCAAAATAAAGCAAACTTTCTGTTGTAAGTAGATTTTCAAAACTTTGGGACATTTAAGGGCTAATACTAGCAAAAAATCACGACTTTTCCAACGTCAGATCTTTCATCACCTTTTCCTACTATCCTTCATCAATTCCAGGGTCTTGATATAAGCCTAGAAGTTCTTTTGTATAAACAGTGTCTGAGTGTTGCCTGCCTGCCTCATTAATTAGTTCTTGCATAACGCTTGAGCAGAAATTAATTTTTTCTCATTTCTTGGTTCTTTATCTTCAAAAATGAGCCTATTTCTCTAACTTTTGGTCTCATCCCCAAAGTAACTAAAATTATGAGACCTTACAAGGGGATGGAAAATGTTTGACAAAATTTTGGTTTAATCTACTTCCTAAATCACAGATGCTGATTCCTTAGTCATTCCAAGGAAAGTGTTTGAATAATTTTGCTTTCTAGTCTCTTAGCTAGAGTTTTGCCTTTCTTACGAGAGCACATCATCTGGTAAACTTATTAACAAATTGTTTGCCACGGTGCCTTAAGAGTTCCTTGTAGATTTCAAAACTGGGATTTATAAAATTAGGCACAATTCGCATTAACAGCTACAAGTGTGTGGATCGGAAAAACCTGCATTTATGGTTGATTTCGCTAACCACATGAATGTCATCCCACTGACATATTCTACGGCTGATACTTTATAAAGCTGTCAATCCACCAACTAAAACGCGAGTAAAAGTTCCCTGGATTACATGGTATTCTTATTTTTTAATTTTGTATTCCTCTCAATGCTCCCTTCTTTCAACCCAAAAGTCGTGCCTCTTTTGTGTGCAATAGTTCTGCCTGAAAAAAAGCTTAAGGAAATGAAAGTGCGCTCCTGTTATGCTTGACAAAGTAATCAGACTCAACTACTTCTGATTAGTTGAGAGGCAAACTTCCTTACAAAAAACCTGACACGTACTTTACTTAGAGAATGTCAGTAGCACTTGATTTTACCAGGCCTTTTGGTGTTAGGGTGATCTTAGGGCAGGAGGTTGGCTTACCTCTGTAAGCCATGGACATATAAACCAATGTAATTTTGAGTTCATCTTCTTTCAATTCAATACCACTCGACGCTTCTGAATGGGCACCCAAAACAAACCTGCAGTCATATCCTCCTACTCCATACCTGTCAAGTCAACTTAATAAGTTTAGGGCCTACCGCGGCAAGATTTCACATTGGAAAACCAATGCAATATAGTACTGTTGTCAATAAAAAATTGCCTACTGAAACGTACGGCAAGCAAGCAAGGTAAAGTCTCAGTTTCTAGGCCAAAGGGACCCATTTTGCTTTTTCAATGAGCTATTCTCAAAATGTCGACCACACTGCATCATTTTACTTATGATAAGTGTAAACTCGTACGTTTGGGTTAATCCAAACAGATTTGCAATTGAAAATGCATTAGAAAATTTATGCCATTTGCGCATTTTCTTTCCAATTTCCTCAAGTTTTAAATCCGTCAACAAGAAATTAATGCACTACGAGGAGTTAAAAGCCAGCGGTGTCTTGAAAACCCATGATCCATTTGGTTTCCTCGATGAGTAGCAATAGTACTGATATTTTTAAATGCATTTATTTAAAATGACTTAAATAAGCTTAATTAAGTTGTTTTAGGGGAGCTTATCTTCCGGTTAGGGTAATTCATGACTTAATGAACTATCAACTTTGCTCGTAGCTGCAAATCACTTCTAAATATCTGGAATGGAACAACTTTTTAATCCCCTGAATTCACACACATAGATTAATTATGAGTAACAAATTCTAATCAACTTATATTTTTCTAGAAGAAGTCAGACGTATTGCAAGAAAACTGTTAAAACAGTCACCTATAAATCTAAGCCGTTTCATTCAAATGCAGTTGTAAGGTTTCCCTTTCAGTGGAGAGATAGGAGTGGAGCGTGGCAAGAAGTAGGAATAGGCAACACCTACCGCTGCAGGCCCACGCAGAACGCCCTGAAGGTTTTGGTGATTTTACTGGAAAAGACCAATGAGTAATGTTCCCTCTGTGAAAGTTTATTAATAGACTCTCTGCCTAAGCTAATTTTAAGGTCAAAAGAGAAATGCAACCCCCACAGAAAAGATGTGTTTTAATTTAAAAGTCAATAAAATGTCACAAGGCAAGCCCAAAATCTACCCGTCTAGGAGCTTACCTGCTTTAAGAATGAATTAACATATGCTCGAGTCTGGTTGTGATCCGACTTTTATATTCACCAGCATTCTGTAGACGAGAAGAGCAGCTTTTACATTGACCACAATGGCTATGGGCGTATTGTGCAGAGCGAAAAAAAAATTCAACTTGTATGAACCGGCTAAAAGCGGCTCTTGAAAGGTTTCTGTTCGCTGAGCCTCATAAAGGTCATATCATATGGGATTGGTTTGCTATCGTATAGCTTTTAACCATGTAAGATGTTTCATATTTCCTTATCATCCATTAAATGTAGTTCATTACAATCTATTTTTTATAGCTAGGATATATTTCCAACTTTTGCATTCGCTTAATCATATGTCCTGGTTTCCCTTAAGACTGTCTTACTAAAATTATTCTATTAAACTATTCCATGAACATGCGTTCTTCCCCTGGAATACCCCATTAAGTTCCTTCTCATTCAACCCTGTAAGTGCATGAATGTAAGCCCTAATGTTACAAGCACCAATAATTTACATTCCATATTGCATTAGATTGGGAATTTGGACTTTGTGTTTGTTGAAATGTAAAGGCACCATGGATTGGAAAAATACGTTCCCTCAAGCTCAAACTTGATGAAACTACTTATTTTGTCCAATCTATCAGAACTCCTAAGATGCATAATTTCAGTAATGCTAGTGGAAAATTTGTGAATAGTTTCTTGTAATGGCAGTTCTGCCAATCATCACAACTAGGTGCTGCTTGTTTTTACTATCGATGGCGTTATGACACCCACGCATTGCTCACTTCATAATAGGCTTGAACCCACGGCTAATTATTTGTTCTTCTCTCCTGCTTAAGTTCATCCCCCATTTTTAACTTAATATCAAGTAATGGAACCTTATAGTACACTAATCTACCACTTAAGCATCAAAAGTAGCATTAAAGGGCTTTTGCGGTTGTATAACAATGACGCTTGGTTCCCTTATAACCACCTGATTATTGTCCATATTTTAGATGTAGATTGGTGATAATAAATAACACTCAGTAATTTTGGCTTGGATCTTCATTAACTCCTAAAATATGTCATATTTTCTACTCCACCCTATAAATAGTCGGTTAGATTATGCCATGATGCCAGTGAACTGCCGCCTAAGGACAATTCGCTTGAGCATCAGATTTTCGAAACAAACTCTTTCAAATATGCTTCCGAAAATTTCGAATATCCCGTAGAAATTGCGGTGACCTTTGCGTGTTATGTGTGGTTAAATTTGAGTTGGGTAAGAGTTGTAGTTCGTTGTCGCAGTTATACTAGATTCACCTAGCACCTAGCACCATCTATAGCAAAACAGGATTAATTATTTTCGAAATAATTGGTTTGGAACGAGATACAGAAAATACCCATTTGTATTGCCTATTACATAATTCTCATGTATTACTACTTGACAAAAGTGAGATATGGAAACTGGCAGCCATATAATTTTCATACAACCTGCAACCCACTCCACAGGCCTTTCAGCTCATCCTCTTTCACTGCGCTTTCAACTATGCAATCTTTGATTTCACAAGAATCACTTGATGACCTATGGTTGAGTTTAAATAAACAGTGAAGACAAACCAAAAGAAGGGAATTATCAACCATCTCCTGGCATAGCCTGAAATCGGAATATCTCTGGTCTCAATTTCATCGTTAATTTAACATTACTTTACTTTTTAGTCTTGCCATATGCTAATAGTAAAGGCGCATGCTCCGCTATTGCCTATTTTGGGGATAATTTGTCTTACTTAATCACCTGCTTCGTAATTTAGCTCCGTAACACTTTTTTGAAGGGCAAACTAAGATTACAGAATAAAGCAAAGTGCAAATAACATGAAAACAATCCAATCTCTTAAAATTACATCTAGTAAATTGCATGTTTTTGCGTTGTGAGGAGCCAAGATCCCTGTTAAATAGCAATGCCGTCTGCTCGTTGACATTGGCCCTTATCAAGAGAATAATACAAAACATCATTGAGTCCGAGGCACCCATCACCTAGCTTTAGCACTTTCCCACGTCTCGACAATTTATTAAAAATAGAGAAATCGTCATTAAGTGTTTTTGAGAATTTTCAAGTTTCCTGAAATGGTCACTTCACTGCGAAAACAGAACTAGATGGGGTTCCCTTGCCCCATCACATTTGACACTTCAAAATACCTTTGAGTTTTTTATGAGATCTAATAATATACTGGTTTAAGCATGATAATATAGTCCGGTGCCTAAGAGCTAGAAAAGGCTCGCATTCATGTGAAGAACTATGATTGCCAGGTCCTTTGTGATTGGCTGATTGCAGAGCATGCGGCTGTCACCACACCCACGCATGTGTGGGCCTATAAATTGACCTTGGGTTTGCCCTCCTCCTCACTATTCCATCCGAGCCTCAAGATGCCAACGTAAGTAGTCATAGCGGATAAATATATTTGTGATGCTGAATAAAAGTCGCTACTATTTAAGTAGTTTCACTTTATTTGTAAATGAAACTTATATTGTGTTTTTTTTCGGTGTCTTATTTTTTGAAGGTCAACCTTTCCATTGATAGACGGATGTTTGGATTACTTTATACAGCTGATTCATGATTATGCTATGGATAGGTACACTGATGCAATGAGCATTTGGAATTTTGTGCGCCACTTTGGGAATTTGTGACTAATTTGCTGCACCTTATAACCTCTGGAAGCCCGTACTTTAATATGGAACATAACTAAAATTTCATTCAAATAAATCGGCAAGGCTTAATGGCATGGCCGTGTAAGTGAAATGGTAATTGAATGATAACAGATGTATTACGTTCAATTCAAACAGACACCGTCTACCTACTGCATGCATTGTGTTTTACCTATTTAGGGGAACCGAGGTACGAACATTTCTTCAAAGCCTTGATTTGGATCGGAAGAACGCCGTCTCTGCAGAGGATCTGCTTCGGGTCTTGCAGGATAATGTGGAGGGCGTTACCCTGGAGGACATGCGAATCTTTATAAAGTCGATCACGGGGAAACCGGACGCCTTGCTCACTGAAAATGACCTGCATGTATTCCTCGAGGAGATGGGATTCTAGAATCCCGTGTAATCCACTGAATCTGCAAGCATTTACTGGGATCACATGATCCCTCACTCGTATTCCTCTCCGTCTGACTTTCAGTCCACTTTCCGCTCGGCCCTCAGTCACTTTTTTACTGACCTCACACTTTGTAATAAAATAATTTAATTGCATGATCTCACTGATGGCAAGGTGCTTTCACTAACGACGTTCGTAACCGTTAATCTAAAAAAAAACCTGTAATAAAGTGTCCTAGCGACAGCTTTTTGATCATCTACAGGTGGCAGCGTTAGAGGATAGTCGATGCCATGGCATAGGTTGCGAATTGTCCTGCCGCCTTCTAATTCCTCTAATGAGTACAACAGTTTTTTTGTTCAATTTCTTTGGTAGCTATGACCAGTAAACGCAAAATTGAAAGTGCGAAGACACTGAAGGCTCAATTGGTTGGTATGCAAAAAATTGCAGGGTCATTTGTCAATTGAGGTGGATCATCCCACGCACCGGATAATAGTTGTGAGGCGTGCATTTTGAGAATTAATACACTTTACTCAAAATTCGTTAGCGGGACATCAGCCGAAGTTACTGACAGTTTCACCCGCTTAAGTGGGAATGTTATTTTGCTTGCAGCGTATGCATTCATTTTCGCCTTAAATTCAGGAAAAACGCAGATGGTTCTACGCAATATGCTGAAAGCCTCAAAACTAATAACAATAATCCTAACCCTGCTCTTCCACACCACATGAAAGTTCGCTTGAGTAGGAAGTCATTCAATCAAGAAGTGAATGGCAAATCGCCCGATTACACATCAGATTGAGGCTTTTATTTTTGCGGCTTTGGGGGAATAGCAAATAGTAGGTATGCCCATTAGTTATTTGAAAAAGAAAATTACTCATTCATATTTATACCCAGGAAGTAGATTGTACGAAAATCACAGCAAAAGAAGAAGAGTGAAAGGTCATCTAACAAAACATCCGTAATAGTAATCATAAGTGCTAACTTTACTTTTTCATAGTACGATAAGGCAATCATAGTAAGCACAAAATTTGATTTCAAAGCGCTATCTCCCAAATAACAATGGGTTCAGTATTGCAAATGCACACCTTGACAAAATCTTAAAAAGTGGACTGCATAACTCCTTTGTTTCCTCACGTCACAACGGCTTCAAAAGAGTGAATTATGAGACTCCTTTAGGTAGCATATGACGGTATTGTCTGCTTTAAAGTTCCCTGATCTGACATATTTGTTTAAATTTAAGATAATTGATGGAAAGAGGAAGCTTGCCTGTGGCAGTGTAGCTCACAGCGTCTGAGATGCTTCCTTGCGCGGCCTAATTTGCAGTCGCATCCTTCCTAAACCGAATGCAGCTGTATGGTTCTGGCGATTTTACTAATTTAACGGCACATTTGCTATGATTTCTTGAATCTCTTTTCAAATTTTCACTAGCTTTTAATACCAGTGCCACTTCGTACTCCAAAATATTATCAGCATGTTGTTCAATGTTATGTGTTTTACAAGGCACGAAATTTTACAAGCCAGACCAGCGAAATAAGATTTATTGTTTTAACCTGAGAACCTGTATTTGTTTGATTCAAAGTTCAACAACCTTACTGTTAGTTTAGCTGTCTTTTTAACGCATTATTTGAACTCTACATGGTTTGTTTTTTCTGTGTACAAAGGGGTACATCCTTATTCTGGAGGATCTTCACGGCACATACCGAATGTAAGTACGCCACCCCCATCGTTCGAGTTTTTCACGACTTCAACCCTCTGCTGTTGGAAGTCATCTGCTCTGCTTGAAATAGTTTGATTTGTTGGTTTTTTTTTCCGGAAAGTTTCCTTGCACTTTTATCCACTTAAACATAGCTACACTAATTTGAAACCACATTTCATTCCGAATGCGTGGCACAGCAACCAGGGCCAACCAAGTGCATTTGCGCCCATTCCCCCGCCGCCGTGCGTTGCTTTGAGACAGGGTTGCTTGCACGAGATGGGAAAAACTTATTTGTACGTTTATTTGGCCCAAATATACAAATACAGCTTAAGTTTTTGCCTCAATTTGTCAATTTATTTCTCTCTCTGATATTGGCACTTCGTCGCACCGGGTTCAGCAGTTTTAAACGCTTCATTACCACGGGAGTAGCTGTAGAAAGCCAGCCTGACTAGACATTCGGGCGCCGTCGTCTCTAGTCGCGACCGACTTCCATTACATCTCTTGCATGCAATTTTCACTTCATCGGGTTTTCACATCTCGGCCCATCTTATATTTTAGGTAACCGAGGTTTCCCAGCGCAAATTTGCTACTTGTCAGAGCTATAAAAAAGTAGAGAGAAAAGGGGGGACCATGCTTTGCGCCTGCTCTCATTGTGTGGAACGCGCCTTCAAATGCAGATAAATTAACTGTAGCTTCCTTACTTTTGAAAAGTGTACATTCGAATGCTCCATAAATCCACATCCAGCCCCTGAATTTCTTAAATAATTTACGATGCATTGGTATGAATGATCAGCCAGCAAGTACTAACCTGTTTCTCACCTCCGCCTGCCGTTTATTTGAAAGTTCATGCATATAAAATGCATGTGACGATTAATTATTTTTGACTCACTTAAATAAGCGGTTAGAGTTCACATGGAATCAAGGCGGGGGTAGTGTTTTAGCCATTGCTCCGAGTTTAAGCTCACAATTTATGTTACCAAAACCAAGCAATTTTAGTGGTCTTCTGACATCTCATTACTACTGATAAGTTAATCTACCAATTAAAAACTTGGATTTCAGTTGAAGCTGTCAAGCGGAAGGTTTATGTATTTACCGCCTATAGGAACTTGTCGTGAGTCACTGCGCTGTCAGATCGTTTGAATAGAACAGATAAATGGGTATGGGAGAGATTTTCCCAATAAAAATTCTGATTCCTTTCTGTTTACCACATAAAACGCAAAAAATGTTTTATTTGTAGGCGTAAGGTGATCGTCACTTCAACCTACAATAAACATTTCAGCAGACCAGTAAAGTTCTCCACATATTTATAGTAAGTACAGTCTGCAGAGGGGAGATGAAAGTAAATCCATTCCCGCTAAACTCATATTTCCACAATCTTGCTTTGTTGGTATCGACATTAGAACGTCGGTAAACATCGTTTGCTTTCATTAGGAATCGCAGAAGCGTTGGACTCGTATCAACAAAAAATGACTCAAAATGATCCAGTGAGATGACCCCACCGAAAACCTAGTCTTGAAAACAACAATTCAGCTTATTCATTAAAGCCAACTCGCGTTCGAACACACAACATGGACTCTGATACGAATTTTGAGTGATGAAGTGGCGATAGGAGAAATGTATCTTTCTGGACACTGATTTTGCAAAATTTTTACATGTATGATTTGTAAAAGTAGTTCGTATCTTTTTCATCTCAACGGCAGCCCAAAAGTGACACCGGAGACAATAGCGTGATCATAACTGTTTTCATAACACTCCCTACATAATTAACAAGCGGAAATTCAAATTAAAACCTAAGTCCAAATACATTTCTGGTAGCTGTTTTCATTCTCTTATTATTCTTATTTTTCCTCTGTGGAGTAGGTTTTGGTTTAATTTAGTCTCATAAATAGAAAATCATCTATATTCCGATAATTTTACTACCCACTCGACTATCTATGCCTTAAAAATGTGCGTTTTCTGTGAGTTCCATAATGCTCAAGAGTCTTTAAACACAGTAATTAACACTGCTACAGACACCTAAGTCCTAATAATTTACTGAAGAGTTGCTCCATTAAAGTAATGTGCATTAACCACTCTTATTGGAAGTTAGATAAAACAGATATTCGGTGAAAAATTTCAGAACCTTATGGATAAGGGCGGATTCCACCAATTTTAACTACCTATAGTTTTATACTGGTCTGATTTCTTCGCTATCCCAAAGAAAAGGGAACTTCAATGGGCGACGTTAGGGAGACGTCACATCCAATAAATTTGAAAATATCTCAGCTCACCATTTACTCCCTCCCTCACTAATTCTCCATCTCTTCCACTACCACGAGTCAAAGTCCAGGCACAGCGGGTTCACTCGGCGTTTGCAAAGCACTTATCAAGCACCATGCCAAGGAGAACACTACCACCGCTGACTTCACTCTCAGCTACTGCTCATCGGCACAGTTCCTTGAGTTTCAATGTCTGTTTAAACCCCGTTCTACTGCATATTCCCTCTTGGACCTACTCTAAAGAAAGTTTCTGATGCTTTTAGTGGAAAAAATATGTAATTTTAGCGAATCTCCTTTCAAATTCAAACCTGGAACACCTCACAGAGTAGCACTGTTAAGTCTTGGATTCATGGGATAAATAAAAGCAAAGGAAGCAGCGACCGTTCTCATTGTAACAAATAGTTTGTAAGAACATAACTTTGAAACATAATCAGGCAATTATACCTAAATTTGAAAAGAACGCTCTCGATGAAAATCGTTACAATCTGAGATGCTGTCACCTTTCATGAATTCAGTATAAATGATCAGATTCTGATGAATCTTAGTCTCGAGCTTAAAGGTGCACCTGTTTCTTTCCTAACGGCAACAGAATCGCACTGGGAAAGACGCAAAGATAACTACAAACAACTTTGTCACGGTTCATGCATCGTATCAACTAAAACCTTTGAAGTAAGCCAGGTTATCAGTTAGCTTTGACATTAGTCACTATACGTGGTCTTTGTTCTCTGTTTACGTAGTGCGAGTTCTTAGACAATTCCTCTGGTTAAGCATACAGTACCACTCCCTAGTCATACGCCATCCTACCCAATTTCACCAATACACATGTCACGCGACCTGGAAATCCTTTTTGCCCTTTTTCGGTCCATTCGTATTAGATGAATTATTATATTGTAACACCCTTCTCCTTCTTTATTTAAAAATACATCAGCCATTTCGGCTTACGCTTACTTATGTTATAGTCAGAAGAGTTTGTAATCCCATGGAATGATATCGGTTTGATTAGGAGATGCCAGTTGTTCCAGACTGTTTCGCTATGTGGAACCACGTTGGAGACGTTCTGTGTTATCTTCTTCCTACACCCTTCTATCTTGCAACGGTATTAAAATTCGTCTGCCTGGTTTGGTGGTTTTTTCACTCACTTCTAACCGGTGCTTTAAAATCACGTGTAAACTTCTTAAATGCTCAAAAGAGTTCCTACTTGATAAATAAGGATGACTGTACAGTTCCGCACCCTAAAAAAAGCCAAAAATCCTTTCATAATAAAAGTCGTCCTCTTATTGGAAGTTATTAGTTGATATCGGAATTAACTAGTGCCATACTGCTCAACATCAAGCACACACGATCGCCTTCAATTCATCCACTTTAAATGTGCCGGACTTTGTGCCTGGTACGAAGCATTTGGTGATAAACTATTTACTGTTTCAGAATCTCAGCTGGATAAATGATATTCTAAAAAGTTATTTTATAATAGCCCTCACTTTGCCTAAACGTTACAATAGATTAAATCTTCAAATATAGGCATGTTTTAGACACGTGGAAAAAGAATATCAGTTTATTGCTAATTATTTGATACTTCCAAATTCACAATCCCACCCAATCATGATAGTACCAGAAATTAACTGACTTTGATTCAATTTGGATATTTGCGAAGCTCAAATGCACAGCAGACCACCAAATTAACTCTACAGTTAGTAGCTTCAAACTCCACATTAAACTCCAAATCATGGTCCATTTGCGCAAGATTCTTACTGTATTTATCTACAGGGCTCTGAACCTTGAATGCGCCCGACGCTTCCCAACCCGTCCAACACTAGCACGGTAGCCCCCCGCACCTGCCTGCGAAGAGGACTCTCCAAACCAGTGGAAGAATGACAGCCCCCCAGCTTTGTTCCATCAAAGGCTGCAGGCGGAGTCTCTCTACCATGAAGTCCCATGGCGCTAATCAGTACATTTATGAAGTTAAATACAAGAACCGAGAACAGGAATCAAAAAAGCGCTGCGACGCACCCAAGCACCAAACGGTAAGGTATTAGGTTCGGTCCGAGGGCTATCATTAGCTGAAACCCGCCGGACCCTGGAAAAAAGCGTGATGATAAAAATGGTGTATTCCGAAAGGTTCTCGCGCCCTACATGACATATCTAAAGGGAGGAGATGAATTCGGTAACACCAGCAAGGTCCACCATGCCTTCAGGGTCCTTATGCTCCTTCAGATAGCGGTCGACCGCGTCAGTGGGGACTCCTAGGCTGCCAGTAGAGGCTAAAACATCTTCTCCCTTGATTTTCCCGTCACTGGCCATGTTATTTAGTGCTGCTTCAACTTCGGCTCGACTAGGCATGTTCGTCAAGGCGTGCGATGATACAAAGACGCCTTGGTGTGAGGCTCGTGCTTATATAGAATTCCTTTAGCCCGGAAAAACTATTGTGGAGCAGTGCTATTGGAAAACGGTCAAGGCCATGCCTATGTCTGTCCACGCGACTTTTGGGCCTCTAGTGGTGAGCGCAGTCACCAATCGGGACAACGGCACTCGCTATTGGTCGATAAAGCTGTGCAGGTTGACGATAGGCTGAAGGAACTGCCCTTCAAATCGAGTTCTGAATGTTGGGTGTCATGTCTTGCCACCAAAGTGTTCATTTTCTAAAAAGATTACTTCTCTTAAGTTTCGGTCCATTATCATTTGAAACAAAATTGCCGCTCCAAATGCATCTAAATGCCATTCATTAACATTGTGAAGGGTTAGCAATCTTAAAGTAACTCTTTGTCAAAAATGGCTTGAGATCGTAGGATTCTCTTACCTTAACCGATCGACTGATCCCTACAACTGCGAATATAATGTAATCCGTGCCCCAATAGCTACATTTACTATCCATTAAGGCAGCAAATCCGGCAAATTGTAGGGCAAAGGCTTCTTGCTAATGAAGTGATGTGCTAAAGTGCTTTTTTTATTGCCATAACCTAAGTAGAACGTTTCCCAAAGCTATGCACACGAAGTAAGCCCGGTTGCTATAGCGACTCACGAAAATGCTGTGTCTGCATTTATCTTAACTTGTTACTGTTGAGAGAGTTCAATTATTTGTAGTTCTAAGTATCTCATAATAAAAAAAATTTTACCGCTGATATTTGAGGCTATGTTGCAAAAGAATTTATTCACGGAGCGTTCATATTGTGAAGCAGCAATAAAATAGTCCATCAAACCCTTACATCCCATAAACAAATTTGCTCAGTTTTGACGAAAAGAATTATCATAAAAGAGGTTATTTATTCATGACATGTATAGGGAATTGTGTAAACCAGATTTTCTGTACAAAGGGTTGTATTAATTGTGGACTTCATCACAAAATTATATGTCAATACTGATAAACCTACTTTATTCTGTCACTGATGCTAAATTGCCGACTTTCGCATCCTTCAACTACATTTATGGCCGTTTTGATACGCTCATATTTCCTCATGGGCAATGATCCGATCCAGCTACTTCTGACCTTCCCTGTCAAAACGCTTCTTCAACTCAATGAAGCTTTCAAGTCTTCTGTGCGATTGCCCGGCATACATTCTGTGGGCTGTAAAAATGTTCACAGAATGGCTTCTGCAACTGGGGGCTGGAATTATCACAGTTTGGATCGTTACTGTTATCAAACCGCATGATCATCTTTGAAGTGTATCTGTCACTCAAATGTCCTACTGGTAAGCAGTTGAATAGCTCATCAACGCAGTGTATATGAAGTTCTTCTTTTACAAGAAAAGTAATCACGACACACATCGTTCCAATGCCGGTAGAATCACCGTTGCCTGCTACCTTGACGACAGCTTGGCCATAAAATGGCATCAATCAAAAGCATTTGTTCATAAGGTGGACGCGTTGGCAAGGTGCTAAGCAAACACTGGAACCTCGTTGCTAAGTGATTAATGGACACCACTGTTTACTAACTCATTGTGCATGTAAGCATATGCAAACACAAGGCAATATGACTAACACCATCTTACAACTGCGCAAGTTTTGCAAGTGGTTAAACTGCCCACGGCCTGAAATCGCACCTCGATACACCACTGGGTGTCACTGACTCCTTAAAAGTTAATCGCACATCTTGTCTAGCTTCTTTCTTCCTTTTTGCTCTTAAGTTGTATGTGTTGCTGAATGGGGGCTTCCAGATAACGAATGGGCTTGAAGTAAAATGATTAGATATGGAAGTATACCACAGTAACAAGCTGTCACTAGTCACTTATCTCCCAGAGGAGGCAAGTACATTAATGTATTCTAGCTTTGTCAGGCTCTTAATGTATGGTTTGTGGTCATATTTAACCTTGGTGCTAGCTGAATGCGTAAATGGTCTCAATAGCCTTTTTTCTCCAGCATTACCTGAGTCATGTGAAGTGATTGCACGTACTCTTTGATTCCTTCTAAAAAATTCAGCTCCTTTGAGGGTTGCATAAACGTTTTGCTAAACGGGAATTTCTTCAATCATGTGTGGGTTTATCCAAATGGATGCATAGCATATCGTTTAAATAAATGGTCATTTATTTGTAATGGCAAGAGATTGGGCTAACATAATTGTACTGGGGAAGTTGACATCTCATTCAATTTACCTAATGCATTTAAAGAGTTCGGTAAAAGTAATAAAAATTTTCCGAAATAATGTCCGCCTTTAAAGTTACCCAATAACCATTGCATTCACGATACATGTGGTAAGAATTACTGCATCCGTTAGTCCCCATTGCAAGTTGATGCATCTTTTTCATCAATGCTTTTCAAGATACTTTAATGACATGAGCATAAAAAAATTGAAGCAGTTAAACAATGAGTCCTCCTTAAGGCCTTTAGGTGAGATGTGGAGAAACAAATTTGAAGTTTTCTCCTAAAATTCAAATGTATTTTTCCTAAAAGGTGGCATGAATTGGGAACCTTCGGTTGTTTGTAGCGGAAAGAGGACGGATTAGACTAATATGAAGGGAGAGGATGCAACATTATTCCTAAGGAACAGTTAATCACGGCATAATTAGCCCTAAAGTAAAATGCATGTTCTACTAAACTCACAATTACAATGTCTTGTAGTTTGGCGCACCCCGAGTTGGTCTTGACGGCCCGCGGCACAAATTGTATTCACACTCAATATTGCCTTCATGGGTAGGTGCGTGGGTGGCATTGGTTGCCCACTGCCTTCAGATGACAGGCTTTCACGAGACTCGTTTGTCTGCCTTGCCTAAGCCTCGCCCATAGAGCAGTGGGGGACTGAACTCTGAACCGGGTGGATGAAGCCTTGCACAACTACAGTGATCTCGAGCGATGATTGGGTGGCTTTAGTTTACAAAGGGATGCTTTTTTTATGAATGAGAAGATCTTCCAATTTTCCGCCTTCCTACCAAACAATGAGGCTTCAATCTGATCTCCATCAATTTATGTACGCTTTTATTTACTGAGTTCTAACTGTTAAAAAATTGTTCCATTAACAAATGCCTAGCAGTCTTACGGCCGTAATTAAAGGCTTTAAATTGAGGTGGTGCCTTGACTACTTGACGAACAGACATGCTGGCCTGAAAGTATTAGGTGACGGAGAAAATATAGATCTCGACATTCCAAGCATTGAGCAAGAACAAATGATACTACCCTCTAAATTCTAATGCGCCCTACTCGATAGTCTAATCTGGAAAACAGTAGTGGGCATTCGTACCGATTAAGTTTCAATTTTGGCGATTGTTCTGATGGTAGAGAGGTGCTCGTGCTCGGGTCCTCCCTGAGGACGGTACAAGTTTGCATGGTTGTGGACAGAAATGAATTATAATTGTATATAAGGGACGGTGGGCTGCTAATTGAAATCTCAGGATTCGAATGTTATACAACTAGGATGGTTACCGACGTTATGAGGACCAGAGGAGCCTAGTTATTAAATGCGAAATGAGAAAACGCCGTCCTTCTACAGCATCAGAGGTGAAATTTGAGTTTGTATATGAGGGACGAACTCGATACAAACGAGAAAATAAGCCGGAAAATCTGGTAAACACAGGTAATCAGTTTAAAACACAGAATTCTGATGGAAGTATGTGTGGGGAGGATCGCTGTCAGGAGTTCGTCTTATCCTGGGCCCGCACTACTGAACGATCCCGACCGAGGGGTAGCGCAGGCCGCTACCAAGGCCCGGAACATGCATACGGACATCCAAGGCCGTCGCACCCGTGAGCAGTTGAGTGGCATAAGCTTAAAGCTTTCCAAACTTATTTTAGTGGATGACATACCAGCTAGATTGCCATTAATTCGTTTGCAGCTTTTAGTCTCCCCTTTCACACTGGCGTCACGTAGGCACAACGGAGCCCTTTGCGCCCTCAACCGCATAACAATCGCATTCACATTAAACGCCATAAGTCCATGGCTCTAGACGGATTGCAAAGAAATAGAGCAGTTTAGCAGAATTTAAACCTCATACAGAGATTCAGAGTATATTTACCCCTAGTATTATACTAAAACAGTATGATTGCCTTCGAAGTTTTCTCATGCATTCGGATATTTCAATTTGTTCCACTGCTTTTATTTCAGAGAAATATCTTGATCTTATTGGCTAGTAATTTGCATGAGTGAATAAGAATGATATCTTTTATTGTTTGAAGGCCAAATTTGTCATATTTTAGTTACTAAACAAAGTGGCTTTATATACGCTAATTCATTATATCAAAATGCAAAATTTCGGCCGACCTAATTCAAACCAAATGATGGTTATTAAAATTCGTAACATTTGCGCTGCTTTGCTCTTCCACTTCAAGTTTCATACCTTGGAATAGGCAAGTATGGTCAGAGAAAGGCATTTTTAATTATGCAATGGAAATTCAAGATTCACCTCCTCTTCGGGAATTAATAACGCGCACCGATCACGAGGTTGGCCCAATCTGCCCTCTCGCCACCCAAAAGACATTCAAACAAACGTGTGCTAAAAATCACCGTGGTCGCAGTCTATCTATTTTGGCTTTATGCAACCCGGTTTATTTGAACACCTCTTGTTCCGTCATGCGGCATTCCTTTTTGGAACAAGGCCTAGCAGAAAGCATAATAAAGTTCATTTCAAGATAGGTGTCACCAAATCATCCAAAATATTACTTAGGCCTTTCTGAGTGGCTTCAAAAGTGCGGCTACCAGTAACACTGGAAGCTTTTCCTGTGGATCTCAAAGAGATCAACTACTCATCCCATCATTTATCCTTTCTTGCCACTGCCAATTAATAAGTTGCTTTGGTGGTTTGGAGCATCTGAGGTGATTGGTTTTACAGTTCCGCAAGAAGCACGATGCCTTGGTTACCAGTAGCATGATTTCCTTTGTTTCCCCAAAATGAGAGGCTTCTCAACTGTCACTGAGTGGGTGATATAACAGAAAATCAGTTGTGCAAAAAGATTAAAGTTGAATCATACAAGGAACAAGTTTTTTATTGAAAACTTTTTCCGCTTGAAAGTTGCAGCATATAGAAGCCGTCATCAATGGATTAATGAGAGCGAGTGGCATTACTTATGCCAATACGGAAGGGCAAAAATGCTTGCCATGCTGTCAGCACTCATTAGTGTTGCGTGACACACGAAACCGCGTTTGAATCCATGATAAGATGTAAATATCCGTGTAGAAACTAGAATCACTTTTGTGATCCAACACAAGCTCTCCACGTTCATTGCCAAACCATATTTCTAACGTTGGAGCACATTTATGATGCAACTAAATTCAACCTCAAATGCGCAATGTCTATACATAGCTTTATGGAGAAGGAAATGTTCCCGTTGGTGCCAATCCGCATGGGATGGTAATAAACAATGCTTATTATCATTGCGAAGTGAACCTACAGACTTCACAGAAAAAACGAAAGCTTTAGAACGAAATACTATTTCTTGTGAACCAGATAAGCATAAAACTTACGTTCCCTGTGACGCAATGCACGAAATGAATGAAGTTTAAGCATAGCAAATAGCTTTTTTTATTTCACGAGGCAGCCAGCAGCAAGCTCTTGCGGGCTGCGCAACTGTTTGCTCTTTAAGTGTTGATACAAAGCAATGCAAACCCGTGCAAGTAATTTACAGCTCACAAGGAGGCGTCGTCTGGGGCGGTGGTGTAGGCACCCTCTATCCCCGTAAAATATTAATTTTTTATGCGAAGACCTTCGCATTCGCAGCGCACCCCGCGCGCTCACAAACATGAATGCGAGGCTGCACTGGTTAATCGGATGTGGCAGTGCCGCACCAACCCTGCCCTCCCCGCCACCGCCCGCCCCCCAATCACATTTCGAAATCGCACACATTAATGCAAATGCATGTGATGGAGCGCAGTGCAGCCAAGACTTACGCGGGAGCGGGGGGACTAGCATCCAAGTCCAAGACAGGTGCTTACCCCATCTCCACCCCAACACCATGCTTATGCTTGTGGCATCTAGGCTTGCCGAGGCGGAGTGATGACTATCCACCTGGGCGCATGCGTAATTACTGCGTCGGTTTATCAGAAAGCAGCACAAAACTATGAGTAAAGGCTACGATGTTTACTGTAAAGCCAACGGATTTCACGTTAAAAAGCTGCGACTAGCAGTACCTTCATGCAACTTAACCTATGTTCCATCACAAACCCCTCAAGTTCTTTTGCCAAAAAAGTAACTCAAAATGGAGTTCGAATAACGAATGCACTAGGTGAGCTGTTAGGCGTTTTACTTCACCGAGTAATGCACAAGGCAGGGTAACCCTATTTTTGGGTAGCATTAAGCTCTTTCCTTCTTTGCTCGTTCCGAGTCATGATAAGGTAAGCCCGAGCCACGATAGATACACAAGTTAAAACAAGAAAAACAGATAAGGTGAGCAAAGAGATACCGTCTTACAGCTGATTGGGGCGCACTATTGAAAGGCAATATTGCATCAGTAGTTTTAAAAGATGAAAGAAATACACCGATCTTCACATCTTCTCAACAGCCGCTAAGGAATGCTCACTTAATCGCTAGTTCCAGTCAGCGGTGTCAATTAGTGGGTCTGAACGAAGTAACAGAAATGTGAAGATTATAAACATCGAATTTACTTGGTTCAGATTTACCCATTAAACTCAGTGTTTTATTTATTTAATGCAGACTGTATTTAATCTAAAACGGCAAGTTCGGGGGCAGTTAATTCAGGCTGACCTTAGTAATAAGTGTTTTATCAAGTAACTTCATTAAATTTTAAGTCATCAGTCCCTGTAAGGGTGAGGAGATGCATGATTCTTGACGATCTCATTTGTCTATATATTACAATACTAAATACATGAAAGATTTTTCAGGTCCGATTTCATGAGGAGTGGCTGTGGATTCGAGTGCAAGTAATTATAATCCCGCAAATGGTAGTACTTACTAGAAGGAAAACTGTCGATGATGCAATTGCTCTTATTCGCCGCATGCTATAAAAGCGGTTTATAATAAGTCGTCAAATCGAGATACCGTGATCCCAAATAACCAACTCAAAGAAATACTCTGGCTCTATGACAACACTGCATACTTCATGCAAATTCCGCTGCGTAAAAAAAAAACTTTTTGAGTCAAAAGTAGTAGATTTTAAGGACTTAAGCACCATACTTTATTCGAAGATAAGGTGGTGATATGTTGCATAGAACCCTCGATTAAATCGTCAAACCATGTGATATGCTGTTAAACAATGGTACAAGTTTCGTTCAGATTATCATATAGTAGAATTAAAATAAGTTGTATGAATAAATAAAAGGCAAGTTACACTTTAGGCCCGAAATTCCGATTCTGTTCTGATGAGCATGGGCTTGTACGCGCAAACACAGAGGAGACAAGTATGAAAATAACAAATTTTATCAAACCTCACTACTATAACACTAAAAATGCCGGGTTTCGGTTCATCATCTTCGCGATTATTTCTTAAAAGTGGATTTAAACAATGCTTTGAGACATATTTAGCTGACACCTGGCCAGGGTGTTATTTTAAGGATTGGCTATTAGAATAAAAATACGATTGCACAGTACCACCAATACAATTGTAATGAATGATACATTCGGTTGGTCTTTGGTTGTAAATGACTCTATTGTGCTGATTGAAAACAGCGGCAACTCAGTTAAGCACCATTGAGTTAAGCCATGTACATCAGCGTTACCATAACAGCGTGTAGCCTTGAACGCCACTTTCAAATTCATGCGATCATGCCGCCTGACGTAAGTCCGGCGCAAGTTTTAGAGCTGTCAAATTGCATAAAGAATAAAGTTGGTATAAAATGCAGCATTTCTTCTTTTACTGACATTGGGATCGAGTTTTTTGAGGAAATCTTCAGTTATATATCATCAAACTATGGTAATTTTCATAAGCCTGGTTACTTTCAATCCCAGTAGTGACGTCGAATCAACCTGCTTGCAAACGCTTCCAGTATATTCTTCAATGGTTATCGGATTATCTTGACACCTCCCTTGATCACATAAATGCAGATTCTCTCGTGCTTTGCGACCCACTCAATTTGCACAACTTGCTTGAAATTCTCAATCTTTGCGTAGATGCAGAGAAGGAATTCGATGTTTACAAGAGGTCTGGTTTTTTTATATTTGGCGAATTGGGGTTTTGCTTTTTTTGCGGTGGCCCTGGTTTTGGGCCCACTTTTAGGAATTAATGGTTGTATATCTTCCTTGACTCAAATCCGACTCCCCCTTTCATATTTTATCCATTTGTTGCAAACATCAAACTAGTCGTGGTTTCTAACAGCCTTATAGCCTCAATTTTTAACTAATTTGCATTGTTGAAACGTTTATCTATTAATACTAGTAGGTGTAAGTTGTGGTTAGTATTTTTTCCTTGTGATCTTAAGTTCAGAAAATATACCACAATCCAAACAAGAAATGGATGCGGCTCTAGAACAGAGTCGCTTGAAATACCTAAGCTGCAAACTTGCTGAAATGTTTCTTCCTGAAACGGCGGAAACGCCACCACCACCAATTGGATTAGAGCCCGGCACACCTCCGAAGACTTCCAACACTTCTGGGCCTCGTGTGAAGTTTGTGAGTCGAGTCATTTATTGACCTACCATCATCTTGCGAAGTCAGGCTGTCTACGCTTAGGTATCCCACCTTTTCGTAGGTTGACGTGCCACACGTGATAACGCCTTATTCGGCTGATCCACCTCAATCCTCGGGATCGATTCTCCGGGTGGTGGAGAGGCCGCTGCGGCAAGGTCTAAGATGTAGGCACCCCCAAACTCTATATGCAAACATGAAGCCATATTTGCGGTGGTGGCACAGCATGCCCTCCTGCAAAGTACCTAGCCAGGACGTCAGCGCACTCCTGCAAGAGCTACTGAAGAAGTTGGACCAGCTAGAGCTCTCTAGAGAGACACAGAACTACATCAAGCTTAAATTACGTGAGTTTTGGGCGATACTTATGGGCGAGACAAACAGACAAAGTGGTGGGTACATGCTGCTGTGGGACTTCAAGTATTCACTTTGAATTTCAAATATATGTCGTTCTTATGTGTTTGGACTATTCTGCCTGACATACTACCATATTTCTATTTGGAGTAAGTGATTTGTGGGGACGCAGAATCGCTGCAAGGCTCACTCCCAGAGGCCATTTTATCAGTGTGGAAGGACCCTTGTATACTTTGCCGCACTTCTACACTCTATTAATGAAGAGTTTCTTTTAAATTTCATTCCCTTTATATTTTGTGAACGCGTTTTTGAGTTTTTCACACGGCTGTTGCCATACCACCATTTGGTCATATTCAGGATGTAGGCACTTTTGAGGAAAAAACACGGAAACATGGAAGACAAAGATTTTAAAGTTGACCACAACTGTTTTGGCTGAAGTGCGGGTATTTTTCAACTTTGAGCCCTCCATACTTCAGAAGTTCGGTAAATAATTACGCTTGGATACCTTTTTTTTGTAAATTATTACGCGAACCCTTATCAAGTATTATTGTTTTCCATGCTATCTGATTCACTAAGATAAAAAGAGGCCTTTTTATTTTTTTCCACCAGGCTCATTAAAAAGCCACATCTCCCTGTTAATACAAATGGGGTCGCTTAAAAATTGCAACAAGGACTAAATGTGTAAAGGGATCAAGTACCGACTTTTCCTTAAAATAACCTAGTCCATAGTAGAATATACGGCTGTAAAGAATGTTAACGTTTTATGGTCTTCTGGCACCTAAATTCTCATTAATATTCAGTCTTACAATAAGTTAGCATCCTTTTTCTGTCTTGTATTCAGTAGGAAATGTTGAAGAACGTATCCTTTTTCAAAAGAGGATATCTTTGAATTTTGTGTCCGCACTAAAGATAGTGAGTAACGCGTCAAGGAAACGCCTCCGTGTATTTTAGTTAGGATTCTTAAGGAGATAACTCGTCAATTTCGCATTTGTTTTCACAGTGAGGTGGCTGTCAAAATTTAAAGGCTTATGATAACTACACCGTGAAAGTGCTGGCGCGATGGAGCGTACGCCTGGCGCGACAGAGGGGAATGATGTGGATTTTCATCCCGCATTGTACTTATCGTTCATGCTACCGCTGGCCTCATGGTGGGCGTTCAAAAACCACCTGGAGGAAGTGGGCATTCCATTAAAATGATCAATAGACATTTGGTTCCACTTACCCAACATTAAAATAGCTTTAAACTGGGCGTAAAAAAACTCACATGCAGTTGGTTATCAAAATATATTCATCGCATACGGTCTCAGTTAAAGGAAAGCTAACAATTAAAGTGCTTGATACAGGTGGTTTATTATTTTGTGTATCGCGCAGAATCCATCGTGGACACCACTCGGGCTGTCGCCCCTTCGCACAGACGGGCTCAGGGTGAGCGGCGGCTGGAAGAGGTAGCGAATCGCCAGCGGCGACGCATAGAGCTGATGGAGCACCAGGCGGTGGACGCGGAGCGAATGCTTAGTCTACGGGACTCGCAAGCCTTTCAACGCCTCCTCCTTAATGAGCTGCGGCAGCGCCGACGTCAAGAAGTCCTTGACCGACACTTCTGCCTCCGCCACGACGAACGCCTTCATGCACTCGCCGCAGCTCGCAAGGCCCAGGAGGAGCAGGTATGTGTCTTTTTAACGATAGTTGCCTTATGCCATTGTCTTCGTGCCAACAATTTCATGACCGACTGATTTAGTTATTTGCATCAGAGTAAAACATTTTAAAAAGTACGAAAATGTGAATAAATACTCCAAAAGGGGAGCCTAAATGCCGGTAGAAGTGACCTACCTTAACTCTGGACAGAAAATCTATTTTTCCACAGGTCTGAGCGCATTTGATTTAAACCGATGCGTTTGAACCATAACGCATCCTAAAAATTTTTAGAAAAACTACTTTATCCTTATAAAGCAATACGTATTGATGCCGAATTTTCGTGTTTTGATACAGTGCCCAATATGATTTTGGAGACATTTTTTTCCAAAATGCTAGTTTATGGGAAATTGCACACAGAATAGGTCCTTCTTTAAAAACAAATTATTATTTGTGCCGTATTTCTATTAAGATTATCAAGGGGACTTTTGACGCTGCCTTAGAGAAGGCACGCCAGAACAGAATCGAGAGGGATAATTTGAGACGAGAAGTTAGACAGAAGGAGATCGAGCTGCAGAACCTTCTCATATCAAATCTTGAAAACCGGTGACCTTTTTTTATTAACTTTGCTTAATAATCTTGTCACAGTTCGTAAATGCATAGAAAGCTCATTTTTTGGTAGAATTTGCTGTTGAAAACTATAACAAAGGTACGATTGTTGAGAATTGCCAAGCTTTATTTAACTACCAATTTAATCAAAAGGAGCTATTTTCTGTCTGACTTTCCTATACTGTTAAAATTTTCAGACAGGAAGAACGCATTCTATTTCTGCAAGATGAACAAAATAAGCGTCAGGCTGAGATGGATCTCCAAGCAAAATCCAATAAAGTGGTATGTTTTTATATGAACGATGGTCATTATCTTTTGTGATGTTTAGGATAATTTGCGGGAGAAAATAGAACTTCGTCAACAGTTAACGCGACAAATTAAGGATCTGGAAGAAGCGCTTTTGAATCAATTGGAACCCCGAGACCTGAGGGAGTGCAATGAAATTCGTGGGAATTACAATTGGTCAAACTAGACAGCTGCTCCTAGACGTACTTCATCCTACGTGCTCATTATCATGGTCAAATCTGCGAAGTTGTATTCTCTTGTAAATAAATGAAGGTTTATACCGGAAATATGATTAAGGTTTGGTACCATTCAGCAGTGTGTGTTGCGACGGGGTAAGTCTAAGGGCAATAGGCTCTGCCCGAGGGACGTGTATCCTGGCGCCAGGTGGGCGTGTCCGCCCGATAATGCCTTCGGAATCTGCCTTGGCTCATCTGTGTGCCATTTGTTAGCTTCGGGGTGATAAAAATTGATGATGGGTTACTGGCATTTCATTGCAATGCAACTGGGCAGGTGGCTGGGTCTTAATTGATTGCTTCCGCTCTACGGAAAGGGGTCTGAGCCATGCGAATAGCCTCTTTGCTCTCCTGCACCACAGTCTTGCGTGTTCTTCCACATCGCCTTTGCTTACTACGACTTCGAAGTAGACAATGGTAATATGTTGGGTTTTGGTAAAGGACCAAGACTGTGCCCCAGCTATTGTATCTTCGCTGGTTGAGCCAACTTCTGGGCCATAATAGTGACCTCGGACTCTTCTGTATGTTGATTATATACATCTTTGGTCCGAGTATTATGCCCTCTTTCGTCCTAAAGGTGGTCTAGGGGCGCTACACGAAGGAGAGGCTGCCTTTTAGAACAAAGCCGATGCATGGAAATACGTAAGTCAAAAACAGGGTGCAATCTTAAACTATTCAAGCTTATTTGAAAATCTTTACATAGGAATAAAAAATAATACTAATTTGTCAAAGCCAGGCTAGCAACGAGCCTCATGAAGTCCCAAAAGGTATTTTGACAAAATTGCGAAGAAATACTAAAGTTGCAAAGGCTTCTAATTAAAATTATTGCTCCAGAGTAAGCATATGTTTGCTCAATTTCAAGCTACATTTCAGCTTTGATGCGCACGTGTTTACGCGAAGTTAATAGTAAGCGGAACTTTCGGTTGTAAGTTCATGAGAACTTGTTTTTCTTCATAGATTGTTACAGTCGACGTAATTCGGAACCGCAAGATTGTATGTAACCCTTTATTTACCCAAGACAATTTGGATATTGTGGATCTTAGCCTGATTCCTGCCTAAACCAGTTAATTTACAATTGATTATCCGGTTAAATTTAATGGCTCAATTTTTGTAACTGAGATTCTTGTTTCCCATGATTTACAAGTTTCTAAAAGTTGCAATTTGTTTCATTCTCTTTCTGGAAGTATCTATATTAACCACGCGACCTCCAGCGATGGCATCTAGTGTATACGACTTCTTCACAAATGAAATCTCACTAGACCCTGCTGTTGCAGCCAACCCCAAAGATGAGCTTTATTCTCTCTGTGATGATCCTATGACAGAACCAATGAAGATAATTAATGAGAACTTGAAGTTTGAGGACAGCCAAAGGCTGCGTGGCTGTTTCATCGAGAACTCTGGGTTCCTCGTTGTCGGGGTCATTGGCCTCCAGGTGAACAGAACTCTAACTGAACTATTTCAACAATCCAGACTTTGTCTTATTTGCATCACTTTTCTAGGGCGTCGGCAAGTCCTCCGTAGCTAACTTGTTAGCAAACCGATTGATCGAGGGGCCTCCGTTTGAGAGTCCCTTTCCAGTGCAGACACTAGACTCTCTTGTCGAAGGTTACCCCAAAACTACAGCAGGTGTAGATATGTATATTACGCAGGACCGCATCATCATCCTTGATACTCAGCCAATTCTCGATTGGTCTCTCACTGACCTCCACATACAACATAATCTCCGCACTCAAAAGCAGCGTCAGCAACGAGAGGAACACCAGGAAGTGGTGGAAGTCACTGGAGGCTCCTCGACTTCGGGGAAGTGGTCAGTTGACGGTTTCGCCGAGATCACTTCCCTCCAGGTATTTATTTCTTGAGTTTTTCGCGGAATTGTCATCCTAATTCCTTGAATTGATTTTTCAAGTAGTACTAGGAACGTGGGGCTTAGAAATACAGTAAAAACATATATCCTAGAAGTGGGTGGTTTGCTTGCATGATTAAACGGTGGGTACTCAGCAGGAAAGGGTTTCATTGAATACCTCATTTCAATACGAGGGATTACGATAAAGTGCTAGATACTTTTGTGCGTGTACCTGTGGTTTTGGTGTCAGCATAGATTGAGTAGATTCGGTTTGTATTCTTTCAGCTAATTTCTTTTCTCGTGAGTGTATGCCACGTGGTCGTGTGCGTGCAAGATAATCTCAGTAACCCCTCCATTCTGCGTCTGATCGATCGCGCCTTCGGCTGGAAGCCCCTGATCCTGATTGACGATATTGTCACCACTCCCAGCTTCGGTGGGAACCAGTCTATCTTGAAAGGCAGCCGGAGGCATCCTCTTCCAATGGCAGTGACAGTGACGGCGGAGTCCGAGGTAGTGGATGCCAAGCTAACGAAGCCAGAGGTCACGGTGATGGAGGAGGAGGAGGCAGAAGCGGTAGTGGAGGAGGAAGAAGAGGAAGGTGGTGTGGCGTGTGAAAATGAGGCGCCCGAATCGAACGAAACAGGTCTCGGTCAGACGCCCACTACAGCCCCTAAAGTATGCACCTCGTCTGACGCTGACGTGGTCGCTGCCGCATCTGCCTCGCCAACGGAGATGGGTGCCGTCGAAGAGGTGGCGGAACAGGCAGAGGTGCGGGACTTTGTCAATCAATTACTGCGTAAGTGCAATTTCTGTTTACTTCCTCCATTTGAGTAGTTTGAGATGCAACCTGGCTCCTTGAATCTGTACCCTCAGGGCTAACTGACTACACGGCCAGTTTGGTGCATGTCTACAACTGTGCACCTGTAAAAGCCTTCGTGAATCCTCGCATTGCTGACGATCGTTTGTCGGCGTATCGACGTCTCCTCACCCAAGCATTCCCTTCGCGCCTTCAACTGGCCTCGTTGGTGAAAATGGGTCCGCACGTTCTCCAGCGTCACATACTTTCTCGACAGAAGCGTCTTCGTGAACAGAAGCAACAAGCAGCGGCCGCCGCAACTACTACAACCAATGTAGATATTGGTGAGTTGACTTAATATGTGCCGGCTCTCCTCGGTTGCTTTTGGTTTTACTTTAGTATCGTGCTTGAAAGTTTTTCACTCTACCTGCATTGGGAAATCAGACAAGTTTTCTAATTTTCGTTCACTTGTAGCTACAATCAAGCAGTATTTGACTACAATACGTAGGTCACTTGTTCCTTTGGCAACGCGGTAGGGTTACAAATAATTTTTCGCTGCAGATGGTGAGATACAAATGATATCAGCGCTCAATTTGACAGAGGAGCAGAACAGGCGTGGAATGTAAGCTCGGCTTTTTGAATAAATCTCAATGGCATAAGCTTATGCAACACAAAAGTTTTTCTTAAGACCTGCAATGAAAAGCGAAGCGTCCATGGAAGCAACAGAGGCAGAAATAGTAGCAGAATGCTGCGAGGAGTTAGAAATGGTGGCTAAGGGGACGCGGAATCTACGGAAAGGCGTGGGAAGATCCTGTGTCAATACCACTGTCGCGCCTATCGCAGCGTCGATTTCTAGAGCAGTGCCGAAGCGCACCGCAGGGAAGGTTTTCAATGGTGAGGACCGAGTGGCAGCTCTCAAAGATTTCTCACGGCGCATCACGGAGGGCCGAAAGATTCACCTTGAGCCTTCTGCGTCGATCTCTTCGCCTCGTCTCTTCCTCCTACCTGCAACCAACGAAAAGGGTCTGCTTAAAAACTTACGCGATTGATTTGATATTGAATTAAAATACTATTGTTGCTTCTGATTTTAAATGCAAAAGTGTAAATTTGTATTAAAACGTCTGTCTGTCAGTAAAATGTGAGCTTTAAAGTGATATTTGAAACTTTGTACCCAGGCATTTGACTAGACCTATTGACAAGTACGCTAAAACGATTGATTTTTATAGCAGTCCTTTGGTAACATATATATAAACGTTCTTAAAATGCCATAATATTTGCGGAAGGGTTGGTGACATAGTGGTATGCTTGTTTTTCTATAAATCTTACTTTGACCTATCTATTGTGGAATAAAGTGAATTGCTGGAGATAGCTGTTGCACCGATTTTTTTAATGTTGTCTATTGAAAGCGAATGAGTAGAGGGGTACATTCGTTTCTTTCACACAGGTGAGGTTGCGTTTGGTAGCCCAACTTACATGCAGTGCGCTCACCTGCTCCAGGAGGCCATTCTCTCCACTCCAAGGCGCCACCCCGCACCCTCTCACGCGAACATGACGGAGCTCCAGTGGTTCGAGTTCGCCCGACAGACTTGGAACAGCCTCGCCCCCACCAGCTCCTCGTCTTCCTCCTCCTCCTCCTACCTCAGCGACTATCACCGTCTCCTTGTTAGCAACTCTCTCTGATGCCAAGCCGTTGTTCTCTACCTCTTTCTCCATTTTTTCTCATTCGCATTCCTCCCGCCTAAACTCAGTGCTCTCCACACATCAGGGGATTTGATAGTCATTGCAATTCTCTGTGTAAATGTCTGGTATAGTTTAATGAGTATATCACCGGTATTGGAAGATTCTCGCACAAGTTTATTCTTTGTGTATGATGGGAGGTCTCAGGAGAATTATTCCACTAGTGTAATGACATTTTGCGATTAATTTATCACACATTTCAGGCGTACATCATGATATTCACAAGTTGTTTCTTCGCCTTTCTTTGTTACTGACAAAATGACGACAATGTAGTAGTTGTATCAATCAAGTGCATGGAGGTTGAACACAAGGGAATCATGGAGAGTCGAAATTGACCCATTTTTTGTACTAATTTTCTCGATAGTAGCCGTTGTCGGGCGTCAGAGATTAGTCAGGAGGGAACAGCTGGGGTTGGGTGCGCACCGCACCGCGGGCGTCACTCTAGGGGTGCTGATAGCGTGGTGGTTTCTCGATATTGCGGTGGACGACCATTGTTTGCAAGTGGGATTCTGCAGCGCGTATCACTGTTACAGCCGCGCAAGGTGCGGTTGCATCGTAAGCAACTGCCCATTTCCCCTATCTCCATGTGACTAATTCCATACTGCTTGATCAGTTGCCGCTTCTACGTATCAACCATTTCTTGTAAACCATGTTTTGTAAAAGATTTCTTACATCGAGCATTTTACCCTTCTTTTCTTTGTCCAAACTCTCGGTTTCCCCTTCTCTGAGCCTTCATGCTTCATCATGGACATGATCAGCAAGCATAATGTGTTTGTGTCAGGGTACCATTTCCGTTGCTCTTGTACGATGGCATCCAAAAAGAATGATTTTCTCGGGGAAGTGTGCAGATGAAAGTTTATACTATCACTTAGAAGGCAATGATTTCGAAGGGGTGTGGGTGACACCGGTGAGCGCTTGGCCAGTAATCCGGTTTAGAGGTGACCCGTGGCAAAAGACATCTACCTTAAAGTCTCTGATTACCCGCTGTAAAGTGAATAAGTAAATGCAAGGCGAAATGCAATTTAATGCGGCCCCATTTCTCGCCGTCAAACCAGTGACTCAAGAGAGGTTCCGAATGGGTTACGTGAATATTTTTCAACACCTTTTTCTAAATAAGGTAGCGTCTATCGAACAAAGCCATTTCCAACGCACTTACAGCAACATATTTTTGGAATTAAGTTGACTTCTCTTACACGTTGAAGTGACTTGCGATTGGGCAAAAATTTACTCGCGACTGCGTAAAGGCTCTCTGAAGTGGGACACTCAATCGGTAAAGTAGTTTAAATAATATACGCGTGGTGTCGACACCCCAGTCAAGCATGTGGATTTTACGCTGTCTCAACGGGCAACATGACCCTGATAGTCACTATACATAAAACCCGGGTAGGAGGGCAATCACAAGGGAAGACTAGGTGTTAATAAAGTTGTTTATTGTCTATACTCAATAAAACTCTTATTCCACTTCAAGCCTGGTTGCTGGTTAAGCAAAAGAAGACAATCGGAGACAAGACGCAGTGCTCACGACCTGATTAAAGGTAAGTCTACTTAAATAATCCACTACAAGAAGTGTAAAAAGCCCCATGGTTTACCTGATACCAACCAGCTCCCATAAGCAATTGTATTATCACATGACCAATTTAAATATCCGCTGGCCAGTCAGCAATTTCTAGTTTATTCTACATATTAACATTTTATATTTAATGTAAAATACAATTTTTACATCAGCATTTCCAAGCCCCTCCTTCAAAGATTCGTCGACTTATCTAAGCGTCGGTGTAGAAAACATGTTTCGGATTGGGTGGACGTGTAGTGATAATGAGCACTTAGTAGGGCATCGTCTGGTTGCTCCCTGATTTCTGAAAGAACGGCAGTAAATCGGGCGATGGCGATACTTTACCGCCACGTACTGTACAGATTCGCTGGAATGTAAAAACAGTGAAATACAACAAAATTCACATTCTAAACTTTCATGTTAGTGAGAACCTATTTAGACACATCGCTGACTGGTTTAAAACACATATTAAGAGGACCACTGTGGAATTCAAAAGTCGACTCTAAAAGAGGGATGATGATATTTCATAGTTCTCAAAAGTAGAAATTGATGAACATGAGTTCCAGTTATCAAATCCGATCAGCCAAGGTAAGACCCACAAGAGAGCATTCACGGCGTGAAATAGTCAGCACAAAATAACAATGAATTCAAAATACATTAAGTTTTTCTTTCCAGTTTTAGAGCTTACATAGATTGAGGTTTAGGGGATCAATAGTCCAGCTCCCTGCTCAAAGTTGGAAACCTTTTCTTTCTATGAAGATCAATCGGAGAATCAGCTCCAGCAGTTATTGGCAAGTACTGAATAGATTCATCCTAGTTCAAAAAGCAGTCTACCTGAGAACATAGAGTATCACAACGACCAGAATGTGAGTTTCTGGCAAGAATATACACAAAAAGTCAAAAGTATTTAACTGTCCCCAACAAAGTGTTAAAGTTGCTGCCGCGTCTAATTTGATAGTAAGGAACGAATACAAAAAGTGCCCCATTAATGTTTCTACATTATAATAAGCTACTTTATGGTCATTCGTAGAACAACCAGGTACCTAATTGTGCAAACAATTTCAAAGAAATGGAGACTTTTCACCATAATTCCAATCCATGACACTTAAGGGGATCTTAAAATTGCCTTACCAGAAAGCTAAACCGAGCTACTCAATCGTAGCTTTATAATTAACTCTGCCAATAGACAACCAATGGATATAGCTTTAAAAATAATGGTTACAAATCCCTTGGAATGCCTGTATACAAGAGAAGTGCACACATTACATGCCAGGATTATTGCCATGATATTTTCAAGGAAACTAGTTAATCACCGTACGAAGTTCATTGAGAGCATTAAAATCGACCTTTGCAAGAATGCCAATGATTATAGGTCCCATAGAAATAATTACATACCGTCTTTCAATGTCTAAGGTATGCATAAGACGCCTGATACCAAAACACATAACCGCGAGCTAAAAAGGGGGAGAAAAACCGCAGGGAAGCGATTCACGCATATTGTGGAATAAGAAATAACGAACCGTGAAAGTAGACCTGCGCTGAAAGCCATAGTACATCAGGCTACATTGGCGGGCGACTTTAAAGGCACTCGAGTAACAAATGACAATGCAATATCCCACTACGCCAGTAGTAAACTAAAAGTTCCTTTTTTGCTTCTAAAAATTAACAATGGATATTTTTCGCTTTGCCGTAAGCCTAAAATATCGGCAGAATAAATGCAATATTAGAGCTGTATCAAAATGCAACAGCTACTGTACCTGCTTTATCAAGGAAATAAATCGTAGAAGAGCTGCTTTGTGCCACCTGTTAAAGTCCTGTGTATACTAAGCTTGAGATCTTTTTGTACTCAAGTGCTCATTTAATTACTCTTACTTTAAATCTATGGAAACCTATACTTATGGTCTAATGTTGTGCCTTTTCTGTGCCTACTTTGCACACAGAAGCAACAGATCTTGAAAATAGCTGTTTTGCGCTAAAATGGCATCCTTTTCTTATTTAATAAACTGTTGTGACTGCAAATACAGAAAGGGACTGCCATCGTTTTTCACCACTATATAGAAGAACAATGCACTTTATGTGCCCAAAATTCAAGTCTATTCTGCTATTCACACATGTAATACTGTATCACATTCAGTTTTTCACTCCTTATTGAATCGTTCCATCGCAAAACTTCCACGGGATACATTGCAGTTGTGTGAGAAGGTGTTATAGAAATTTTGAGTCGTCCAAATACCAGATAAATTAATGAGCCTCATTACAAGCTTTTCTACCGCGGCTGGTGTAGTAAGGTAGCTTCTTATCCTTTTTATCGGCTGATGTGCTACTGAGGTGCCACTTTCGTATGGACTTGCTATGTGATATGTTACCGTGGGTGTTACTTCTTTGGGTCCAATTTACTTTAGGATTGACACTTAAGGAGGCAAATATTGACAGGAAAAACTTAATCTTTTATGACGAGGGTAACGCTGGTGTTATTTTATTGCTTCAAAGGTTCCTTCAACCTAGGCTATCACGTAGTTTGCGCGGCCTGTGTCACTTATGGCTTTCTCATAGTCTTTGTAACTATTGTCTGCATTATCACAAAAAGTTGTTCCCGTCGCAGCAACAGGCCGAGAAAAATCAAGTGGATGGACTACACTCAATTTCAACCGTATGGTTTCGAGTCCACGAATTCATATCTCTTATTTCCAGACCGGTACTAGAGGAAGCTCAAGAATTCACATTTGAAGAATCTGATGGGAGCGACGCTGGAGTCGATTTGAAGGCAAGCAAGGAGGGAGCAAAAGGAAGACTCTGAACAAGCTGCCGGTTGTAGTGGCTTATTACACATATTTTATACTCTCTAGAATAAAATGTTATTTAATTTGCCCTTCTCTCATCAGACATTGTATACTTATGAGTTCTTATTAGGACAACGAGTTTCCTGAACTCGAATTAGTTTTTCTTCTCTACTATGTTATTCAATGAGTGTGGATTTGATGGGGAAAATAGACCCCAGGAAGACGCAGCCAGGCTAGTGTGTCTGGGTGAGGGAAGGGGTTCATTTGTAGTGCCTCAGCATTACTGAAGAAGGGAGAGCAGTGGGACTGAACTGGAAGAGGGCTTATTCTCAAATGCATAGAAAATTGAGCTATTTCCTAAAGAATTGTTGTTGTTGCCTAAGTCTGTTGGAAGAGAGGTGCTGGAAATCTCTATAGAGGAAGGACTTTACCCTTCCTCATCTTCTCCTGTTTGAACGCTGAAGACTCACCATACTTACAAATCAGTGAAATTAAGAGGCATCATTTCACGGTTGCAAGCGCTAGAGGTAGTTCACACACTGCATCAGCGAAACCTCGAAACAGAGGGCAAATAAAATAAGGTTTGATTGATAAATCCTATTATCACCTGCTAGACCTGAGGCTGCTTTGTGACTAGGAATATGCAGAATTAGGCAAGCAGAACATCCGCACAAATGATTGAGTCTGTCACTTGTAAAGAAGATTATATCTGGGATACCCAGGCATTAAGCTTTTATCGTGTTGGTAAATTCTTTAATCAAACATTTAGATTTAAGTACGTAGTGGCTAACATTTCTCGTTTACTGCGGACCTCAGCAAATTCCGATGCAACTAACTGCCTCTGTGTCGTGGCTTTGGTGCGCTGAAATGGTACGCACCTTTTTGCAGCTGGCTTTGCATTTGAATTCTCCTTACAACATTATGGTAAGTGCACAGGGTAAATATAACTGGTACGATTAACGTGTAATCATGTCCAAAACAGGCGTAAGGAAAGAGTCAGATTTGGCTACTAATTCTTGTGATACACACAACGATTGTTAATTTACCTATGATTCATGCCTTCAGCTATCCTATCTGTAAATTCTAACAAACAGGTAGCTGATTTCTAATCAGCAAAGGTCTATGAGAAAGCATTTACTTGGCAGACATTTAAGGTATTATTTGAGGCAAACATCCCAATCATTTAATTGCTAGCAGAGATGACGCCAAGAGACAACCTACTGATGTTTAACGCGATCGCTCGACCGTGATCATTATTGCGATTTTAATAAAGTTAGCGTCCTGTTACTTCAGCGCCTTTCCTTGAGGAGCTCTAATTCAGATGAGAGGCGCACTTCCTCGAGAATGCTTTTTACGCGGCACTTTACCGAATATTCGTTTTTCTAACAGTACGAACCATGCGACTTTTCACGTGTACACATTTAAACATGATTTTAATTCGTATATTTTTTTTATTAGCTTTGTCATTGCGTAGCATTTGGATGTGGCGCAGTAGCAGAGCGCACTGCCATTTATGCGGTGCGACCCCATCTCTGAAAACTGCGATTTGCGTAGCTCTCTTAGCGGAAGCCATACAATTATGACTGGGACGTTACAATTCAAAGGTGTGGAAAAAGGACTTTTTCTTCAGGACCACTTAGGACCATTAAACTAGTCAAGAGAAAGACCCATTCCTATGGGACAACGCAAGGCCTCAATCCCCAAAAGTAACTCGTAAAATTTACTCTTTACAATGAGATGGGATGGGATGGAATGGAAGAGGTATGCTCCCTCACCTCATCCTTTGTCTTCCCCAGATAGCCCCAGTTGGTCAGCTCCTTTTCTTACCATTCACAGTCAGACATTGAAACTAAAGCTGACACAAACGGATTTAATTGGTTTGTTTGCTTCCAGTGGCAGCATTTTATAAGCGTACTCATCGCATAAATGTGTCGTAGTGAGATAAAAAAGCAGATTTCAATGCACAACTTGTGCACACACCTCACTGTCTGCCCGAACATGTCTCAAGGCTACGTGATGAATGGTTGGTTGTCGAATTCTATAAAGCAATGATAATATAGAGCATACTATGCAAGAGCAGATGGAAATTGATGATAATTAGCTCAAATGCAGACTTGGATGGCAAGAGCTTAAGATAAGCTTTTATTTTGCTATCAAACGAATGGTTTGACTTTGACATGAAGTTTTGCTTTATAAAAGCTGCATTTCCATGCCCTCCTGACAAAGCTTTGTTGGTTGCTCTAAGTGCTGGTGTAGGAAGCGTGTGTCGGATTGGATGCACATGTGGTGGATAATGAGCGCTCGGTAAGGTAACATCCGGTTTCTCCCCAATTGCTGAAAGAACGGCAGCAAATCGGGCGATGGCGATACTTTACCACCACGTGCAACTGCGTTTGTGACACCTCTCATATTTGACCAAACGGTGAAAGCGCGTTGGCAGGCAGGACATGCGAAGGGCTCTCCTTCATGCCCATCAACTCGTCACCCTCAGGGACCCAGTTACATCAAAATAGTCTGTTACACAAGACTTGTTTCTAAGACTAATAACGACCTCACCACTACCTTCATCAAAGATTCTCATAAGCGCAGCTTACTTCACAACTTTCCCTTTTCCACGCATTCGCGTCCTCATTTCTCTCATCTACAAGGTCCACCTTGCTAGGACCCCTTGGAGAGGCAATGTCTTGGTTGTTTGCGACGGCTTTAACGAGATGAATGATAATGCCAATGTCGATGGTGGGTAGGGTGGCAGATTTAGTGGCACAGGCAGTGACGTTTGCATTGCTGATATCTATGCCGAGTAAGGCTATACAAGACCATATGAGTAAGAGCTGAAGTTTTAGACATAAGCAGAGGCGTGTTGGTGACAAAATCATGTCCATTAAGTCAAAGATTATTAATGGAGGAGGAGGGTGTGAAAATGCCTCCATTTAATAAGTAGATAGAATTGGTGACGAAAATGTGGGAGTGTGACACAGGAACTTCCACTAGCAAAATTCTCTCCACAGATTCCATGCTAATACTGTGGCAGTGATTCTGTGAAACTCACTGGTGCTGAAGACATTGATGATGATAACGGTGAGTGGAAAACGAGCAGAGAAAATGAAAACTTTCCAATCCTTCTTCTCCTCCACTGCTCCGTTTGAAATGTTAACGGTAAAAGTGGGTTCAAATGTGTTCCAATGACCATGTTAGCTTAAATAAACTTGGAGAATGTTTAGAACAGGAAATAGCTGGGTAAGTTGATTGCACCCATCGACTTCTGATTGCGCTGATTGAACTGCAGGGGGTTCCCGTGTTTCGAAGAGAGCTTCAAGCAAAACGGAGCTTCTATGTGGTGTCCCCATGTTATGTATGTGGGAGAGTCGACAATCAGTGGAAGACACGAGGGTACATCGCGCGGCATAGCAGCATTTGGAGTGATTGGCGTCAGCTTGCCATCGCGTATGCTTATATCCCAAAGCTCTCAAGCGTGTCTTTCCTTCCGCCCTCGCCATCCTGACTAAGGGCATGTGCATGACAAAACTTCCCGCACCTCTCATCCAAACCGTCATCAAGTGAACCCTTGAACGTGACTGTGCCTAACCAATTAACAAAGCCTCAATTTGAAAGTCAACTTGCGAAACACTTTCGCACTACATGAGAACTTAGTTATTCCAGCGTTTGCTTTACTTTAGCCCCTGCAGTCTGGGGAACAGATGAACTTGGCCATGCGAATCTGCAGGTTGCGAGATTGTGTGGCAGCAGTGCGTGGCGAATGTTCACGAATGCATTCTCTTCCCCTTCCCAGCACTGCTTCACGCAAACGAGATTCGCTGAACGCTGACGCATCGAAAGTGCGTTGGCGTTTCGTTGCACACGCGCACTGATTGCCGGTTCTACTTCGGCTTCACTGAGATGCGCCAATGCAACACTCCATTCAATGTGCCGCATGTGTTGACCAGGCGCACCACACTACCATAAAGCGGAGGAGCACAATGCGTTATTGGGATGATGGTGTGGAAGGAGTTGATGAGTGTAGATGGCTGTGGTGTGAGGGGATGCGCAAACGACTGACAGGCAGAGAGAAGGCAGGAGTGGAGGCAGCAGCAGCGGCAGCAGCAGCGGCAGCAGCAGCGGCAGCAGCAGCAGTTGTGACGTCACCGTTTGGTGTCACCACATGGGCGGCACACCAGGTGGGAGAGGTAATGGAATGGAAACACGTGCGAAGTCATGACTGCACCCCCATGCGTGTCGACCCCGACACAGCACGAGGCGGTTACACTCGTCAACGGTTTTGCCAGGATAACCAACCTTCAACCACATCTGTAGGATGGTTTGCGAGCGAGACGGTGGTGGCTCTCACGTGGCTTAGGAGACACACAATGAACAATCTGGAGACATAGGCGAAGAAATTGAAGCTGAGCCACGAGGAAGGCAGAACCTGTCCTGCATGAGGTGCATTAAGGGATAACAGGCGCGGACAGGCTTAAACTTCGGTTAGTGCGCAGTTATGACAGTTGGGAGAGGCTAAGATGCGCACCTTGAACACTCGCCAGAGGGAAGCTGTTTTCACTTCACGTGGATCACTAAATGTTGAAGAAAGCGTTTTCGGTATCAGCAAATGCTTGGCAGTGTAGCGAAGCAGTTGAGTGTCTTCAGTAGAGTGACAGCGGTGCAGAAGACGCAATGGTTGCCTAATTCCAGTGGACAGCATTACCTCAAACAAGAGGTTCCTCTCAGTTGGTTCATGCTCCATGTGCTGCTGCAGCAAGGATCGGTTGAAGTGCAGCTGGTGAGTAGCAATTTGACTTTAGCGAGTTTATTTTTACACCCAACGGACATAACCAAGTTAAAACTGGAAGTTAGTCACGACGTTTGCCTTCTCGAACCGTCAAGGCGTTAAAGCAACGAATTTGGACGACGTTTAAATGCCCTCTGGTAGATTTGTTTCCAACTTCACTAACCAGTGGGAAACCGAATAAGGTCTGTTGGCTGGTAGGGTCTTCTACAGGTTTACAATTTTAGGTTTAGTACGAATGCAATTTCTTCCCTCGCATTCGACATTTCTTTTGATCACCACTCTGCTTTTGTGAGATTTGCTTGGGCATTTTTTTGGAAGTGGGATATGCAAATGCATTTAATTGCTTAGGTGCGTCATTTATGACAGCACATGCGACCGAAAGTTGTGAGGGGATGGATCCCTTCCCCTCCTTCCCTCCCCTCCCCTCCCCTCCCCCTTCCCTCCGCTCCCCTCCGCGCAGTGTCACATGCACAAGTGAGCGGATTAGCCCACAAAGGGACGCCTTCAACGATTTCGGTTATTATCAGTGGAAGTGTAGGGAGCAGTCTGATTTTGAGGTGCTTCCTTTGCGGCCCTCATCTCTGTCTGTGGGAAAACTGATAAATCAATAGAAGGAGACACGTGGTCCCTCGTGGTCCTGAGAATCCTGCTAATTAAGGCCAGTAATATGTGCCTCGGATGGAGGTTGGAAGAGGTAACAAGTAAGCTGCCACTTTATCCTCTCCTAAAGCCTCAGTATTTGCCACTAATGGTTCTTTCTAGTGCAAAGCCCTTTTGGCTCGAGCACTATGCATACTAAGCGCTGACCTTTTCGAAGCTCTTTCTTTTTGTGTCTGGCATCGAAATACCTTCGATATCACTTCAAAATGGCCAAGTGCTTACAATATCTTGAGGAGTTAGCCTTAGAGTCTACTTGATGCTAACTGGATCGAGTGATGTCGAAGTCCATTATGGTGGTGAGGCAAAGTAAGGTACTCGATTTGGCTGTCACCACATCACCCTAACAGCGTGTTTAGGTGACGTCACGCTCACCAGCACTTGCTGGACCACACATATTGACTATCACTGTCAGTCCACCTCGGTGCACTGGCATCATCCTATCGCTGTGCTGCTTGCAAGAACCACCTACTCAGTTCTTTTGTCAGGTGCCGAATAGGCTATATTTGCCACACTGGCTACCACTAATCACTGTGGCATTGAAAACGCTCACAAACTAAACCCACTGGACATGCGTTCCAAGGGCAACTGTGCGGCAAATTGTGGAGCTCGACGACAAGTGGTTGTTGGACTCTGTTTAATCAAACGCAGTGAATTGCATCACCCATTTGTAGTGCTAACTTGCTTCGCTAATTCCTGTGTGACGAGAGGCGGTGAATGCTTGTTGAATTGGAAGGGAAAGGCAGTACCTGCTGAAGACTTGCAGCCTACATCCTACACCTACACTCATAGCACCTGAAGTGGATGAGGGCACCACATTATGGGGGAAATACTGCCACTTGTGCACATGACATGACAGATGGGAAGGGAGAGAAGGAGAGTGCTGTTATAAATAGGGAACCTAAGCAACTGAAATGCCTTCATGAATATCAACTGCCAAAAGGCAAATTTTCACAAGAGCAGATTGTCAATTAAATGGGTGCGTAACCTCGAGGAAGTGAAGTATTGGAGAAAGACTGGGATTTGTCAATGTGTAAAAGGCCCTGTCAGCTAAAAGAGCTTATTTGGTTTCCGTTTGATGTGGGACTTTAAAGAAGTAGCTACTGCAGAGCATCCAAATTTAATCCAACATCGATGATTTGCTCTTCGCTTTAGTTTGTTCGTCAACTTCTTTTGGAGTAGGGCAAACCGCACGTAGTTACCAAAGGAGGAGTGTCGACCTGTGACAAACAAATGCATGAGTGAAGCGATACACCCTAAGGCGTGAATGCATTTACTCCAAATTGGAGCCATGCAAGCGGGACAAGTTTGATGACAGAGGTTTC